ATTGGTCTTGCTCCTCCCTACCTCTGTGCCCTACTAAAATCTTACCAACTGTCCACAACCACCGCTCAGCGTGCACTGGCCTGCTCCACATCCTCCGTCCGGTCCTCTTCACCATCAGTGTTGGAGCTTTCAGCTTCTCTGCCCAATCCTCTGGAACTCCACCCCAGAGTCCCTTCAGCTCACCCTTCTCTTGCCGCCTTCAAGGCCTGTCTTAAGACCCTCCTCTTTGACTGTTCCTTCGGTCATCTTCTCACCCCCACCCTCTACCCCTCTTTGATTCCAACCAACGGCCTGGGTGCAAACATTGCCTGCCTCCACCACTACCTCTCTTCTTGGGCTGTCACCTCCAGGCTAAACAACACCAACTCTCTGCTCGTTGGACTACCCGCCTCTTCCCTACTCAAGCTCGTGTCCTTTAAGAACGGCACCTGCAACAATGCAGCACCATCACAGATATGGCTGTAACCTGGGGAGTGGCATAGCCAGGTGCTGCCGGGGGTGATGTCCTACAGTAACTGACCCGGGAATTCTGCGATCGGCCACTGAAGGTACTTCTTATGAAGGAATACCATAAATCAGACTCCAGTGCTAAATAGACCTCTCTCTTCATCCAAACCAATCTTGTGATTGTGTGATTCTCACTCTTGATCACTGTCCAGTGCCCCCCACACCCACCCCTATGGACAGGGAGGTGTTTGTGGTTGTGAATCTCCACCCCCCTTTAGTTAGATGATCTGCTCTCCCAGTGTCCAGACTCACGTGTGACAAATAATAGCGTTCCACAGCACCAGTGGCTGTGAGCAGGAAAGAAGGTGACCTGACCGGCCACTGAGTGGTCTCTACCCTTTGTAGACAATTCCTCACTCAGGCTGATTCCTCAATTCTCCAGCATCTACAACTTAAAGGCAAAATGGTCTCACGGGCTGAGAGCAGGTGGTTTGGTGCTAAAAATTGGTTTGTAAATCTCAAAGTTGGGGTTGAACCCACAATGTTCAGATTTAACAGTGAGAGTGCAGAATCCAGGCTGAGATCTCCAATAGGATAAGATCAGGAAAAGATCAAACTGCCTGAAGGATCTTCATCCAAACCAATCTGGTGTATCTGGTGTGTCGGTGTGGCTCACTTATTCAGTGGCTTGCACATTGTCAGGCGTGGGTCACAGCTTGACCAACACTGAGCAGAAGCTGGGGGAAGGGATGTCTGAGAGCAATCAGAGAGGGAGGGCTTCAATTGGAAGGAACTTGGAAGGGCAGACCAGACATTGGGGGCAGGGATTGTTTGCACTCAGTTCCTGTTAACCCTCCAAGCCACAGCCCTAAAGGGCTTCCTGCTGCTAGTCCAGCTAAGACTAGCAGCAGGAAGGCTTGCCAGACAGCAATATCAATGGCAAGCTATGCGGCTTTAGCTGGTTAGACTCCAGCAGTTACCCCACCGCACACTCTGGGGTCCCGAAGTCTTGGCTCTTGCCAACCTGCGATTTGGATACTCTTAAGCATGGTGATGGTTTCCACATGTTCAGACACCCAGCTGACCAAAAACAAAAATGAAGACGTTACAGAAGCCACTAGAAAGTCTCCTCCGCAAACAAACACGGCTCCTCAATGGCAGCAGCCTTATCCAGGGAAAGGGTGGCCAAATAAAGCAGAAGGTTGTTAGTTTGATCCACACTCGGTGCTTTTACCTGATCTCAGCTGAGATGCTCAAAGGGGTGCAATGGATTCCAACATCCAGCCAATTCCTGCTCATTATCCTGTCAGTCAGGTGGGATGTCCAGGTCCCAGATAAAATTGGTCACTCGCTTTGTGGCTGTTTGTGAGGTTTTGCTGTACATAAATTAGTTGCTGTGTTTACAATAGCAACAAATTATATTTACACAGTGCCTTTCATATTGGGAGGACATCCCAAGGTGCTGGACAGTGAAGGATTTGTATCCAAGCTGGGGATTGGATTCAAGAGGGATGGAGGGCAAGGGGAAGGGTGGTGGGGGTGGGGGCTCAGCAGGGAAGCTAACCAAAGGCATGGTCATAGAGGAAGGTCTTGAAATGGACCTTGAACGAAACAAAGGAAGGGATGAGGTAAAGGGACTCCAGGATAGAATTTCAGAGGGTGGAAGCATAAAGGCTGAAGACCTGACCCTCGATAGTGGGGCGGGCAGGGCGGGGACATGAAGCAGGCTGAGTGGAGGGAGCGGGCAGGTTGGTAAGATTTTAGCAGGTTGCAGAGGTAAGGTGGGGCAAGACTGTTGAAAGCTTTCATCCTTTGGGTGAGACGTTAAACCGAGATCCCATCTGCCTGTTCGGGTGGACATTAAAGATCCCAGGGCACTATTCATTATTCCACAGACCTGTTCAGGGTTACGGCTCAGACAGTATTTATGCAGAACGTTGACTCAGGAAATGAACTAGAGGGAGTGGAGCTGACTAATCTATAACAAGGGGGGCATAATCTTAAAATTGGAGCTAGGCCATTTAGAAGTGAAATCAGGAGGAAGTTTTTCACACAAAGGGTAATGGAAATCTAAAACTCTCTCCCGCAAAAGGCAGTGGATGCTGGATCCATTCAAATTTTTATGACTGAGGTGGATAGATATTTGTTAGGTCAGAGTATCAAAGGATAGGGGGCAAGGACGTGTAATTGGAGTTGAGGTACAGATCAGCCATCATCTTATAGAATGGCGGAACAGACTCAAGGGGCTGAATGGCTTAGTCCTGTTCCTTTGCTCTCAGGGGCAGATTGCGTGTGGATGAGGCAGGTGGATAGCTCGACAGTTCTTGTTTTGCCTATGATATCCCGTTTTACATGAATGTGAGAATGTGTCTGTGACCGCAGATAACCTGCTGGAACTTTAATGCACGATTGGTGTTGGTGAGTAACAGGAGTTTTACTCTGGTAAAACCCCACACTCTGGAACTCCATCCCCGTGCCTTTGGTCTCCCTCCCACCTCTCTGCCTCCCCTCACCCCTACACCACCCCTCCCCCATGCTCGGGGCCCGACACCTGACTGTTCAGCGCTTTGGGACGTCCTCCCGACGTGAAAAGCGCTCTACAAATGTCATTTTGTTGTTGTTGTTGTATAAATGTGCTTCTCTCCCTGTGTTAGTTTGTACACCGGCATCCTGGAGAAACAGGAGAAGGACCATGTCCAGAAGTGGCTGCCTCTGGCAATCTTCAGCTCCCCACTGAGCCTCCAGCAGACTCACTTCCAGATCAGGGTCTGCTTCCTGAACAGTACACCATGTGCCTTACAGTGGGCCATCACCAATGAAGAGTCCAGCAACGGGGCTCTCTGTGGGCCAGTGCAACCGTTCGACTCCAGTGGAAATAAGAGAGACACTTTTCTGGTCCTCGGGTATTTATCTGAAGGTATTATCTTGTCTTTGAAATTACATTTTCCCTGTCCAATCTACCAGGGAGTCCAAAATAGTTTGTCTACAAAATACACAGTCACTGCAGTTACCGAGAGGGAACAAGACAAGTCAGGCCAGCGCACTTGAGAAAACATCTGGAGAAAAAACAAAGTACATCAATTAAGGGTTTTAAAATTATAAAAGGGTTTGATTAGGTTAACTTAAATAGGATGTTTCCCTTGGTTGGGAGTCTGGAACCTGGGGACACAAGAATAAGACAGGGACTTGGGGAAGCTAAAAGAGAATTTAGGAGGAACTACTTCACCTAGAGGGTAGTGAGATTGTGGAACTCGCTGCCTTAGGTGGTGGTTGAACCAGATTGTGTAGATGCATTCAAGAGAATAGAAGGGTGTGGAAGGGAGGGAGGAGTGGGTGGAGCATAAACACCAACATGGACTGGTTGGGCCGAAAGGGCTGTTTCCATGCTGTACATCTTTGTAAACTTAAAATAATAAAACTCACACTGAGATACCAGGGAATAACTCAGAGATATAACTTGTGGTGACTTCCCTGGAGGATTCCCTTCATCTCTAGGATGTTTGTGGTTATGAGGAGCTGGTCCCCAGGTGCAGGAACTCTCTGCTGCTGGGATGTACAGCTCAGTGCACAGCCCTGTGCCCCAGCACAGTGATACCAAGAGGCAGTGGCGGAGCCGAGCGATTGGTTGCATTGGATGTTCGGATGAAGAAGGCCCTTTGGGCCATATGATCTCATCCTTCGAGAACACTCACCCTACTGTCCTCCCCTCACAGCATCAAGCTGTTTCTTAAGACTATAGCATCCCAGCCCCAATCACTCGATCATGTAAACTCCTCCAGCTGTTAATTTCACTCTCTGGAAATGCTTCCTGGTGGCTCCCCTTAATTCTCTTTCAACCCCCTCCCCCTGACGGTCCTGTTTTGTCAAGCTGCAATAATGCCTCAGTGTAATAATGAACCATAATTATCATCAACACAGGCATCTGCTCAATGGCAGGAAGTCTTGTGGGTTCAAGCCGCGTGTTGGGACTTGGAGTCACATAGTGTAAGCTGACACTCCAATGCAATGCTGGGGGATGCTGCATTGTCGGAGGTGCCGTCCTTCAGATGGGACATTAAACCAAGGTCCCATCTGCCTGTTCAAGTAGATATTAAAGATCCATGGCACTATTCAAAAAGAGAAGGAAGTTTCTCTCTCCCGGTACCCTGGCCAAAAATCCCCCAAATAAAATAGGTCACTCACTTTATGGCTGTTTATGGGACACTGCTGTGCAAACCATCTGCTGTGTTTCACCCACAAAATATAGAGTCAATGCACTTTACAGTATATTCAGTATATTCTCAACAATGTGATAAGGCATTATATCAAATACAATCATTATTATTATTGCAGAAGTCTGAGAGTCGATCACTCTGGTGTTTCAGCAGAGACTTGACTTCCTGTAAAATCCAGTGTACAGCTCACTTCAGTGTATCTGTGAACCTAATAACATCCCCTCCTACACACCAGAGCCTAAAGTGCCATTCTTTAAGTTGTATAAAAGTGCAAGTCCCGAACATGATTTCACAGTGTGTAAATGTGAGACCAGATATGAATAGGAATTCATTTGCACAGTATAAAAATAACAGGAGGTTTGTTAACCAGCATGATTGAAACAGAATCTATTCTCTGATTTCTTGTGTTTGCTTCCCCTCAGGCTGGAAGAAGGTGGAGGAGAGTGCAAGCCAGTCAGTCCTGTTTCTGCACATCTGGCACAGAAAGTGTTCTTTCCGATCTTTCTGTTTCAAGAAGAAAATGGTGAGTATTTCTGACTTGCGATCTAGCCAGGAGGGGAAGTGACTTCCATTTCTCTGTTGGATAAACACAATCTTTGCTGTAAAGTCTGTAGTTACACCACCGGCGGTTGGACCTTCAGCTTTTCTGCCCCCACCCTCTGGAACTCCATCCCAGAATCCTTCCGCCTCGCCTCCTCCGTTGCCTCCTTCTAGGTCTGTTTCAAGACTGTCCCCCTTAATTTGCTTTCAGCCATACTCCCACCTCCCCTCCACCCTCTCAATTGCAAACCCCAGCTCGGGTGCAAACTCTTAACTGTCCTGGAACGTTCCCAGTGACGTGAAAAGCGCTGTATAAATGCAATTTGCGGTTGTTGTTACAATCTCTAATGTTTTCTTTACTTTGTTTTCACACATGATTTCAACTGCCCTCCTTGGGGGGAGCTAAGCAGGGACTGAATTAGCACTGAAATAATGTGCATGACAACGGAATAGCAGAATCCAGTTGATCCTCTGTGGCAGTCTCGGATCCTGAACCTGGCAGGTCCTCAGTACTCGGAAAAGGACCAGCCAGCCTGGCTTGATGGCTCGACACAGAGGAGCCCACAAACTCTTCTCATTTCCTCTCACATCATCACTTCGTCTGATGTTTTCTCAGTCACTGAACTACTGTAATTATTACCGGAATGAGAAGCCTCATCTGTTTATTTGCAGGACTTGTAGATTTATACAGTTACTCAAAACTGGACTGGAGGATATTTGGAAGATATTGTACCCTATGATCATTTCTCTTCCTTCTCTCTACTTTCCCTCTGTTACAAACAGAATGAAATTTCAGACCAGGAATCCCGTGAAATCAACCACAACAACAAGATTACATTTGTATAGTGCCTTTCACGTTGGGAGGACGTCCCAAGACACTGGAATCATTGCGACCATGCACAACCTACCAAACGGTATGTATTCCAACAAGCACTCTGTTTCTGTTTGTGACACACGGATGTTTCCCAACATGTTGTGTTCCTGTGATTGACACTGAAGCTCACTGCGGGGCTGACCGGCAGCCTGACTCAGCCTGGTTGGGACTTTGAGCTCACAGTCGTGGCTAACACTCCAGTGCAATATGTCCTCCCGATGTGAAAGGCGCTATACAAACGTAATCTTGTTGTATATTGTCAAAGGTGTTGTCTTTCAAGCCGAGCTGCTGTAGCTGTTACTGTAAGATCCCAACGTGCCCGTTCAGGTGGACATTACCATTGTATTCAGAAAGAGAAGAGGTTTCTCTCGGTGTCCTCACTAGTAAGCCTTCCAATTAATCAGTTATTCACATGGTTGTTTTGGGAAACTTGTTGTCCGCAAATTGGCTGCAATGTTTTCCTGCAAGAAACAGTCACTACGCTTGACAGCAATTACTTGGAAGTGCTGTGAGATGCGCTGATATTTGAACTGTTATAAAAAAAATTCTTTATAAGTAGTTATTCCGGTTGGGAGTGTACAGACCCTCACCCCCACACTGCCCCGGGCTCCGGGATGGAAATCTCAGGGCAAAATGAGCAACCAACCGAGGCGAATAAATGTAAACACATGTACATTTAAAAAAATGTTTGGTTGAAAATGCAGGTTTTTATGTTTGTAAATCAGTGGAGAAGATTATCAAGGGACAACTTCACCAACAATACAGCACACCGCCAGCACTGCACTGGAATGTCAGCCTAAACTGTCCTCAATGTGGGGCTTGAAACCACAATCTTCTAATCCGGAGATGAGTGCTGACTGAGCCAGACTGACAGGTCCAATTGTTGCTCACTGACTGAGATCAGCCGTGTCTGCCTGGTACTCTCGCCTCCGAGTCAGAAGGCTGCGGGTTCAAGCCCCACGTCGGGACTTGAAATCACATGGTCTAAGTTGACACTGCGATGCAGCGCTGGGGATGTGTTGCGTTGTCGGTGGTGCTGTGCTTCGGATGAACATTCCATTGGCTAAACCAAACCGAGATGCTAAATTCGAAAAGAGAAGGGAGTTTCTCTGGGTGTCTTGGCCAACAATCCCCCAAACAACAATTGGTCACCCACTTCATGGATATTTGTGGGGCATTGCTGTATGCAAGCTGGTTGCCGCGTTTCCCCCCCACCTTCTCAGTGAACCCACTTTACAGTGTATCCTGTGAAGCGCTTTGACAAGCCACGATGATGCGATAAAGCGCTATGTCAAATGCAAGGATTATTATTATCTTTTTTTCCATTGGGTTTAGGGTCTGGAAGATCGAATAAACAGAGATCCTTCATTTCCACACCACAAACACAGAGAGTGTCCCTGTCAAAGTCCCGTGAATAAATTGCAAGAGGTGAGTGCAATAACAACAAGAACTTACATTTGCACAGCGCCTTTCAAATTAGGAGGTGATCCCAAGGAGTGTAGGGGTCACTCTCCAGCGAGAAGCACTGAATACTCTACACCACGCTAACCACAGCCATTAACATTGTCCTCAAAAACACAGCCCGAGTCTGGCAGGTATCTCAGCTCGGAGATTGACTGACAGAGATAATCGGGCGCTGGCCTGGTTTGCATAAAATGCCACCTAAAATAACTTGGGTGTGGTTTTTTTATAAAGGTAATGGAGTGGAAAGAGATGAAGGGAAGACTAGAAATCATTTCCATTAAGTAGAAAGGAATGAAAGAGCATTGACTCATTATTGAATACATTAGTGTTTGTCGTAGCACAAACACGATAACCAATTTACTGCAGTAGGTGCACCTGAACACACATTGACAGAGGTATGACTGGGTCCACTCTGCTTTCAGACTGTGTCTGATTCTCTGGGGCATTTTGTTAACAAGGGACGTGTTTGTCGATGGATTGTTGTAATCACGTCATTCCCCTGTGGCAATCTCCATAGTCCAGGCTGAACTGAGCAGGTCCACAGTACTCCCTAATGGGTACGGTGGTCCTAGCTGGACAAGCAGTGGGAAAACTTGCCACAGTGCTCTCAATGGCAAGCTGTGTGGTTTTAGTTTTAGTAATAATCTGAGGGCTGAGGTGAAAGACTGGTCCCTCACTGATTCCTCTATTTACTGTATTTACACTCTCGTCTGATTGATTGATCTGCACGCTGCAGTCTTCTTCATAACCCAAATATCAGAGTCAGTCAGTGAGGGGAGGCACCGGGTTTAGGTTTAAAATGACTTGTTGAAGTGGAACGGTGCGACCAGGAGAGAGAGTGAGGGTGGGTGAGGGAGAGCGGGTGACTGTGTGACAGTGGGGTGGGGGGGGTTTGAGAGGGTGATGGGTTGAGGTAATATGCGGTAATGTTGGCCAGGACATAGGAAGATACTTCCTTCTTCTTTCAAAAAGTGCCATTGGATCTTTTAAGTCCACCTGACCAGACAGACAGGGCCTCGGTATGACATCTCATCTAAAGGTTGTTGCCTCTGATGATTCAACAACAGTAACTTGCATTTATACAGCGCCTTCATGCAGGGTAGTGTCTGGCTGCAGCACACCCTCAGCGGGGCAGCGGCTCAGCCTAGGCTAGAGCTCAAATCTCAACGTGGAGTTTGAACCCACAACCTTCAGACTCCGAGGAAAGCATGTGCCAGACTGAGACCATTGGGTTAGAATGATGAAGGCTGTTTCTCAGAGAATGGAAAGAATTGGTATCAGCCTGACTTCAGTGGAGCCAAAGCTGATAACTGACAGCAATAAAAGCCCATTAGTGTTTAAACAAATTAACTAAATACATAATCTAAACTACCGAAACTGTCCAACAAGCTAAGCATTTATGTACTCTGATAAACAAGGTCTCTCCCTCCCCCCATGACTAGGTGAACGTTCAATACGGTTATTCTGTTTGTAGATAATTGTAGATGATGGACTTTCTTACTCTAATACAGTGTGTCACAATCAGGTCTGACTGCAGCCTATTAACTGCCCTTTGCACAAGTGTTCACTGAGCAATTTACAGACACAGCATGGGGTTCAAAGAGGGAGCAGACAGAGACTCAGAAAGAGAGAGGAACTCGGACAGAGAGCAAGGGTCTCAGAGAGACAGAGACTCAGAGAGAGAGACTCTGTGGGGGGGCGGGGGGACTCAGACACACAGAGAGCGAGAGAGTAAGAGAGCCAGATAAAGATAAAGTCAACAAGAGACAGAAAGTAAATGCAAAGAGAGAGATAAAGTCAGAGATATAGAAAGATAATCAGTAAGAGAAAGAGAATGTCAAAAAATAACATTACATTTGTATAGCGCCTTTCACATCAGGACATCCCAAAAAAGAGAAAATCAGAGAGATAGAAAGTTAAGAGTTAGAAAAAGGAGAGCGAGTAGTGGAGAGGAAGTTAGACGGTCAGAGAGAGAGAGAGAGAGAGAAAACAAAGCAGGAAGTGAGCTGGTACAAGATGTTTCTTGGACCAACGGACAAATCTTGACTGCACCTGACAGGAATTCCTTACAAAGGGCATTGAGACATTTCAGGTGTCAACTCAAACGCAAGCATTATTGTCAATATATCCTCAGCCAAAACCCACACAAGCACACACACTGCCCCAGGGCTCGCTGGGCAGCAATCAGAAACAGAAACCAGAGACCAAGCGGATTGCTTTTGGTAACTAACCCCAGTTCAAGGCCAACTGTGACAGCTTTTCACAAGCCAGTGGCAAGTTACCTCAGCAGGAAAGGTGATCATGAGGGGTTCTTCTTGGTTGTGGCTATTTACCACAAGCCATGTGAAGTGTTCCATCGCTGTGTTGCCTTGTCCCTGTGGCTCCCTTTGTGGTGATTGATACACGCTGAGAGTCTCTGATCATGAGAGGGCATTGCAATGGGGATTTTCCTAACCTCATTACACTGGCATTTTCACAAGCCTCGTTGTATTATTGCATTGAATGTCAATGACCTGCAGAAGTTACATTCATTAGTTTTAAACTGTCGTTGTCTATGAGAATAATCACAAGACATTTTGACCGTGCCCCTTATCAAAATATCTCATGATTATTGTCTGGGCAATAGCGACAACCATTCGCACTGCCATAATGATGCAACAACCAGGAGGTGATCAGAAGCAGTGATTTGGAGGATGGTTGGCCAGAGGAAACTCTCTTCCACTGATCAATCAAATGGGTTGGTGGCATTTTAAGGCCCAACTGAACAAGACAGGGCCTTACCCCCAAGACATCTCCAGCAGTACCTCCCTGCGTCAGCCTAGACTATGAGCTCAAAGTCTCAATGAGAGGCTTCAGCCCACAACCTTCCGACCCAGAGGTTAGGGTGTTATCAGTGGGCCAGCGACCTTAAAAATCAGTCACCTCCTCAGGATTTAGGAGATAATCAAACCATGTAATCAATCAGGTTCTTTTCAGAAAAAAAATCCCTCCAGTCAAACTTTTGGATCAAAGCTGTAGATTTCACCCACAAAAATAGTCAATTCACTTTACAGTATATTCTGTGAAGCACTTTGAGGCGTCTCAAAGACGTGAAAAGGAGCTATATAAAATGCAAGGATTATTATTATTTCATCCACAGCAGCTGGAATTTCAACAATGGAGAATCTATTTGAAACATGCAAAACAAGTGTAATACCCTGAGCACAATATCAGGAAGTGGTGTCTGTGCATCATGGTGGAAGCGAAACTTCAATCGAGACTGAAACCATGCCAAAACGTCCTCAGGAACACTAAACTCAAAAATGACAGAACAAAGAGCTTTGTTTTCTTAGGTGGTTTGAGAAAAAGGCTATTTACATGCCCATGGTTTTATTTCAATGTACAAACAAATTACACACACAACCACTCCTGCTCTCTCCTCCCAAATGCAGTTAGTTATCAATAATATCATGATGTAGCACAGGTTTTTATTTCACACTCTGAGGAATGTAGTGTCCAGCCAGGTTTCAAAGTTTTAGTCCCGAGTTTGTTTTTATAAAATTATTTAAAAATGTTGTCACAGTTAACCATTTATTAAAGTTGAAAGCAGAACTGATTTGAGACAAGTCCATCCTGAGAATATGAAAGTCACGCCGAACACTCGCAAGCTAACACAGAAAAAGCTAACCCGTTTTGCTTGGCTACATACACCACCTCAACCTGTGCTGGGATTATAAGGTGGTGTACCTTACAGGCACAGTAAGTTTAGGTTTCCAAAAGTTAATGGTCTTCTCAGCACAACAGTGAAGCTTCTTACAGTTGGCCAGGGGAAAGTGCTGCAGTGCTATGGTCAAGTTGCACAGTGTATAAAGTCCGCAATTGTCACTTGCATGACTTCCTTGAACTGCTACATCTCAAATTCATGGTCCATTGCTGGCCACATTACAGTACATTTACAGTGCAAGTACAACACTCAGAAACCAAGGGCAAGATTTAAGCCACGTTTACACAATTATTGTTGATGGATCGCCACTGGGGGAAGGACTTCAGCGGAATTGTTGAGTCTTTTGCAAAAAGGAATTTCAATCACCCAACAAAAAGTTAATGTCAGAGGGTTTGTTCATTCAATTCATTTCTGTTCTTATTATGGAGAACATGCAGAACATCTTATCTGACGCGATCCATGAACACACAGTTTAATCAAACAAGCTTCCCAGTATCTCAAAATCAGAGATTTAAACTGCACTGCTACTTTCAACAAACATTAACTGCGGGAAGAGGGAGAGAAAGGGCTTTGATAAATCTGTACCATGGGCAAAAATAACATGGGTTTAACTTTCTTCATTATTCCCTGAAACTGGTTAGCCTGTTTGGTAGCAAAGAGGTTTGAATTTTGAAACTGTTGTGTAGTTAACATTGGTAATGCCATATTTCAATGGATAAGGTCCACTTCTTTACAGTTCAAGCGATTCTATAAGGATAATTAGATTAGATTCTATATAACACACTATTCACTGGTCCTCCTAGCTACAACATTCACAAGCTGCAACTCAGTCAAAACTCAGCCTCCAAAACTTTCACCTGCATTAAACTCCACACGCCCATCACCCAAGTGCTCACTTGTCTCCACAGACACACACTGGATCAATTTCAAGGTCCTCACATACAAATCCATCCACTCCCTGGCATCTCCTTATTTCTTTGACCTTTTCCTGTCTCACTCCTATGCTTATCCCCTCCACTCAGCTAACTCAGGCTTGCAGGACTTCCCACTCTCTCCACTCCCCCATCGTTGGCCAAGGTGGCCTATACCTCTAACTCTGTCTTTTGCTGCCTTTAAGTCCCTCTTTGAACACACTAAGGCCACCTCCCAATCGCTTGGCAGCCAACCCCATCCCTGTAAAGTTATCAGAGACATAATTTTACTTAAGAAGTGCTATAAAATGCAAGTTGTTGTATAAACAGTTAAAAGGGTCATTTTGGAGGGTACACACCCCTCCTGTGGCTGCACATTTTCCATATTTTTTTTCTTTCCTACCTCTTCCCCAACTGAGCTACATCTGAGGGTAGGACGATAGCTAGCTCATTGACGAATGGTCAGATCAAACCAATTTCCCTCTCTTTGGCAAATCAGATTGTTACTATTCAGGGCTCTGCTAAATGAAAAACAAGCTGGTTGTATGTTCAATGAGCAACCTATTTTGGTTATGTTTCAATGTTTGCAATAAATACCATGGCACTGTAATTTTATCAGCTTGTTCACCCAACAAAAAGTTAATGTCAGAGGGTTTGTGAAGGAAGTAAATGATACAAGTCAGAAAGCTTGTTTTTAACCAGTCTATTATCTGGCGATTGCCTTTTAATACTGGAGGTAGTGTATCAACTCTCATTCCCCACTACATCTAACACGACATGTACCCACCACAAACATTCACAGCAGTATTCCACCATTACTATGTACATTAAATACACAAAAGGTTCTCAATGGTGCTGTGCAGCGAGAGTGCTGTCATTTAAAAATTGCCGATCCAGAAACCACAATTGTGTAAGGCTGCTTGTAACCTGAGCTGGATTCTGCTCCTTTGGTTCCATCGGAAATAACCATCAACAGAGCTTTCTTAGGCACGGCTAAGTGATACCGCCTCAGACTTTCCCCTTTCCTTTATATTTATGGTAGTCTTGATCACTGCTGCTTGAGGACACTTTAGAATATAATGTCTGAGAAGATTTAGCAGCAAGACATCCCCTTTCCACCCCCAACACACTGAAGGCAGTAATTATGCTGAGGTGCAATTTCACACCCTCAGCCATTCCCCCAGTGTGCACTAAGACAGTGAGTGCAGCAGCTGTGACAAAAGGGCACAGATAACAGTAAGCAAGAGTCAATGTGTAAACTTGAGAAGCTAATGAAGTTAGTACCAACATGAGGGAGAGACCGACGCGAGGAATAGGCTTGGACTGCTCAGGACAGTGATGGAATGGCATGTAGTCATACTGTACAAATCAGGTTACACTACACTGCTGCTCACACTCACAAATACAACCAGCTTATGAATAGCACTGTGGCTTTACCCCTAACAAACTGAAGTTTTATTTCACAAAATGAGAAAGAAACATCTGTGCAAACCAGAGTAACCTGGCAGTGTGCTGGGTTAATTTGTTTTAGTGAAGCTCCAATAGTGCCTCGAACAGGGAATCTTGAGTCCTATTGCAGTATTCAGGAGTGTTGCATCCTCTCCTCTGAACTTGCCAATGGAGTGCTATTTATAAATGGCTACTCATTATAAAAACTTTCACTCTCGTCACAACACAAAATCAGATACTTTTGCCTTGCTAAGCCTGAGGAAATGTGGTAGACAACATGATGAGAATTTAAAAAGATAGCATTCACATTAAAATAGCAACATCTGAAATGACACATTACTGGCATTAATCACCAGGACTGCAGATTTGATTGTAGTTTGTAATCTTTACGTGGTTTCTTCACTGAAGCATTAAGTGCACCCAAACTTTGTAAATTTCAAGAAAGACGCAGAATAAAAACCAATATCTATACCATGAATGCCCATTCTGCACTTAAATACAATGAAGTTTTTATACATAAAAAGAGTGAACAAAAGTAAAAGATCTAAATAATTTTCTAGACAATCAATAAAACATGGTTTACACTTGATTTACAAAACCATGAAACACTGTGCAGCTGGCATTACCTGCCCATTTCATTAAATTAATATCAGAGGCTGCAGGTTGGCGCAGAAACACACAGTGCAGTTAATTGAAAGCTGGTTTGATATTTTATTCCACTCAAATTCACCTGAGTTAAGTCTGGTCAGGCCAGAACATGTCCACCTGAGGTAGGGTATGTGCTCAGCAAAGCAGACTGTCTGGTGCTCAGTGGATGAAGTACAGGGTGACCAAAAGATTGTGATATCTTTACAATGTCTAATAAGTCTTAAAAGAATGATGATATTTTGGTTTTAGATAATATGGTAGTTATCACAACTTTTGGTCACCCTGTACAATACCAGGGGCTGGGGGGGTAGGTGGGGGGTGCGGTGGGGGTAAGAGTTAAGAATAGGGATCAGACTGAAGTCCTGTACCTTCAAGGGAGGGGAAATACCCTCATTAAGTCTGCATCTCTCAAGGCTGGCCTTTGTACTCTCCCACGTTCAGCTACCTTTTCAGAACTCTTGTGTGTTTGACAGCCTGTATTTGATGGTTACTAACAGCTAGCATCTACGCTAAGCAGCAGAGCCAGGAGCCTGCTGCTAAAGGAGTGTTCCGTATCATGAGCTCAGCAAGGCCATGGACTTTTCATCTTAACCTTGAACTGGCTGGTTCCTTACAGTACCTTGTCTAAGCAGCAATTTCCATCCCAATAACTTTTCTGGTATTTTCAGGGACATATTCCATTCTATGTTTGCAGACATTGTCCTCAAGAGTTCCAATTTAGGCAGTTTGGAAATTCTAATATCTTTGCATTAGTTGAAATCACAGAAACAGATTAAGCCCTGACCTTCCATGCAATTCTATAGAAATGCAATAAACTCCTGAGAAAAGCATACCATTTCCACCTGATTGTTTCTTTCCTTCTCTATCTAGCCCAGCCAAAAGCCAATTGCAGCACCCGCCATTACTAACTTAGTTGAGGTACCAGGCTACCAAAAAACATTTACTGCTTTGACAATATCCACAGGCACATTTCAGAAATCCAATAGTTAAGGCATCAGATGTTGTGAGTACGTATTAGTTTGAATTGCAATATGAAAAACAAAACACATTGGCTCAACTGGAAGTTTATAAAGTTACTGATCCCAATCATATTATTTTGTGACAAAGAATGAATGTAAGCATTTATCAGGATTAAATAGTTAATGGTCTGGCTGCAGACTGATATTGGTTAAACAGTGCAGTACAACAGGTACTCACAATCTCCAAACACCCTTTCATCCAAATATCATTACTCTCATGATGCTTATTAATATTGCAAATATCAGAGATTGGAAGCCTGCTGGTTTTCCATCCACATTTAATGCACTTGAAAGAACAGGATTGTTGATGTAAACATCTAATGTTCTGACTTTACCCAGGTTTTGGATGCTCCACAAACTTATCTCCATCCTTTGAAAACTCCAGGAAAATTGGAAGATCTGCATTGATGAGGAATGTCTAGGTTCTAAATCAACAGATAAACCAATTATTGTTCTTCTCTTTAGGATCTCCATTCAAAAATAATTTAAAGGAGCTGTCCAACGGCAAATCTTGTCTTTAAAGTTGGTCACACAAACAGTTCATTCTAAACAGATCTCAGTGTGATTTACAGGGGTTTAAGCTGTAGACAAATTCAATTAAAATTTTGAGCCAAATTCTAAAACTCAGGAGCCAAATAAATCACTTCCTCAAATCAACTTTTAAATGAATCTTATTGGCAAAAGCACAGAAGAAACTTGATTCCAAGCACCAATAGCAACCTGCAGCCAAACCCATGTGAAGTGAGCAAGCCCTGCCCCAAGGACCAGGCTCAGCACGCACACAAGCTCTACAAAGCGCTTTGAAACATCTAGAAGACCTGAAAGGCGCTATATCAAATGCAAGGATTATTATTATTATTACAAAGCTCCTCGCTCAAACACTGTGGACTGGATCTGCACTGTTGTACTCCACCATCACCATTTCCCTTCTGTTTTCCCTCTGCTTGCATTTCTGATTGAAACACTGAAAATTACCAAGTCTTTCCTTTTTCCTCTGCGAGTCTATAGATTAGATGGGTTGATTTCATCGCATGATCAGTGACTAACTATTCACAGGAACACTGACCCCAAATAGTGACAAAACTGCCCACGGCTTACAAACACAGTGGGCCGGGCTACAGCATTACAGCAATACATTCTCTCTGTCCCATGAATCACAATTCCAGTGTTGATTATATATTCCCATTTTTCTGTCATAGCTGCATGCAAAATAATTCTGAAATTATTAGGCCTGTACAGAGACAATCTGCAATTCATAAGGACAGGAGTCGTGTAAAAAGTGCATTTCAGTGAGTGTATTTATAGGGCGGCCTTTCTATCCTTCTCTTAGCGAAGTACACAAAGAATGCCTCAAAGCAATGCAGTAAAAAAATGATGAACCACTCCCTATGAACAAAACATTCACATGATATGAGCAATTGGTCTATTTACTAAATGTGTGAGAGCTGACATTTCTGTTTATCTCTTTGTACAGCCCGTTTTGAAAAATACAAATAACTCCAGGTTGCCTCTGCCTTCCTACTTCAGCTCAGAAATGTCTCCGCCCGAGAGGAACAGGATTGTCTGCAGGTTCTGGGAGCCAGAAATCATCTGTTTTGCCAGCAAGACTCAAAGCAACATTGAAGTTTCAAACATGAGAACTGTGCTTGGGTTTCAATGTTCTTCCCACAAAATAAAGATGCCTGCTTGCATTTGGCAATTTGATGAATGACTCTGGATCCCCACATCCTATCCATTATCAGTAGCATGTCTTCAGAAGTGGTTATGTGGATGTAAACAGTTGCCTAAAATAACCTATCTGTACAGTCAAAGGCTAGAGGCCTGCTCCAGCGAAGATCCACGTATTAAGGCCTGTAAAACTTGTGGATCACAAATACTCCCATTAGAACTACAGCCAGAATTCCAGCCATCCACTTCATATAAACATTGTCTAAATCCAGAGCTGCAACCTGTAGAGAAAGGAAAATGTGTTTGAGAAAGGGGAATACATCCTATAAACAGCATTGTACAAAATTGACAGGAGCAGACAGAGAATTCCACAAAAAACCCGGTGAAGCCCTTCCTTAGTATTTATATATATATATATATATATATATTTCAAAAAAAGGCAATGTAGAGCATCACAGATTTTTTCAACTGTGATTGAAGGGCAGTAACTTCAGAACTAATCTACAGAAACACTATTTCAGTGAGAAAATAGTAAACCTGTGGGACAGGCTCCCTAGGGAGACGGTTGAAGCAGGAAGTGTTGATTCAAACAGATTGGATACATTTACTTTTAGGAAATAACATTATGGGATATAGTACATAGGTAGTTCAGGACACATGTACATGCAACTGCCAGGAAGGTAGAAAACGGACTAGATGGACCCTGGTCTTTTTTTCGTTTAGCATTTCATATGTTATATTCTTATATATATTTTTTGGTCATCTGTGTGTCTGACACTTGCGGAAACCCATCACCATGTTTATCTAAACCAAATAGGGTTCCATGCAGCCCACCTACGCATGGAAATTTCAGAGATAGATTGTTGGAATGGAAACTCTACTTAAATAGATTTAGATCGCAAACTGGTCAAATGCCACTCTACACAATACACACTGAGTGGTCACACTGAGATGGAATTCACATATCCAACTAAAGATAGTTATAACTGGGTGTCTCCATTTGGCCCTAAAGCAGGTCACTGTAGGCTATAGCTCAAGAATTCAAAAATAATTCAGGTCAGTTTTGCTAGACCCAGTAAAATGTTAATTAAGGTTACTGCTAAAATGAATGGCTAGGCTCGTGATTTAAATTGGCTTTGGTTTAATGCAATTGAAAATTGGAGCTTACACTTCGGAGAAAAGGAAAATTCAAATTATAATACAAGTATTAAAGTATTCTAAAACTTGTACCTTAAATAATCAAAGAACAGGCTGAGGTGTCTGATAAGCAAGAGCACACTTTATTCAAATACAGAATATACTTTGTGGATTGTCCAACTTATTCCACTTATGAGAAAAACGTACCGGGTTTTCATGGAATAAACTGAACGCTGAATTATTATCTTCATTTTTATGAGTTAACAGGTACTAATGTTGCTCTGAATTGCCTCATTGTGTGAAATGCTTCGAGATGTCTTACCGATGTGAAAGGTGCAATATAAATGTCAATTATCTTGCATTGGTAACAGTAGTTCAGGTATAATTCCCATTCTCCGCTGAATTAGTTGTAAATCAGGGAGCTGTATTTCAGCATAGATGTTAACAATTGTTTGGGAATATAATTTTCACTTGAATCTAGTAGTTTACACTATCCAGAAAGTGCAATGCCTGTGTTTTGAAGCTGATTTTCTTTTAGTAATCAATTAAGACTGAATTCAACAATTTGCTAAATTCTCGACACTAAATTAAAACACCACATACAGGTGGAATTTCTCCACACTCAACAGCAATTGGCCCCTGAAGGAAGTGTCCGGTACTCACCCAGCCGCCCTGAGCTGCAATCCACCGTGCAATTCGATTTCTCAAAACAAATTCGGCAACGAACTTTGCAATTTGACTGATGAATCCCTTTATACCCCTCTGGAAGACGTAAAGAGCCATTCGATAACCAAAGCCCAGGAGAGCTATCACACGGCCCCAGTTAATACCACTTTCAAAAAGCCTGCAGGAAAAAGGCACAAACAACATCAGCACAGTTGTGAACTGCCGAGTCGATCAACAAAACAAACTTTAAAAGCACTTCATAAAACGTAAAGCCAAAACACTAGACAGTAATCTAACTTTCACTTAAAGTTTAGAATTAGTAATTGTTCTTTTGTTTTCAATGATTGTGATTTTCAACACAAAAAAATTGTCATCTGTTATCCCCAAATCGGTTATCTGAACTTGCCAGACTTCCCCACTGAAGCTGCATTCATGTACATCCCAGAGACTGAGCTTTTTCATGACCAATTTATCGCCAATGAGTAGTTGAAGCATTGGTTTGGAATTTGGATGAGATTTTAGGCCCTTATTAAAATGTAATGGTTTCAACAATTTCACTTTAGAAATCCAAGACACATCTAAGCAGCTAAATCAGCCAACGTCTGAGTTCGTTATTCAAGCACAGCATGATGGCGGTTTAACCCACATACACCAGTCACTGAAACACACCTTCAGTTTAGTTACTTCATTTCTCTACCCCCACCCCCCCACCCCAGCTCAACTCAAACACTCCTCTCACACAACTTGCATTGCAAGCATTCAAAAATGACCAATGCAGTGCTCGGGGTGTGTTGCATTGTCGGAGGTGCTGTTCTTCAGATGAGACGTTAAACTCAGCCCATCTACCTTCTCAGATGGATGTTAAAGATCCCACAGCACTCTTCGAAAAGAAAAGGAGTTTCTCCCAGTGTCCTGCAAACATTCCCTCAAAATTAAAAAAATTGGTAATTCACTCTATGGCTGTTTGTGGGACATTGCTGTGTGCAACTGGTTGCTGTGTTTAGCTCATAAAATAGTCAAAAAACACTTTACAATATAATAATAATCCTTGCATTAGATAAAGTGCCTTATCTTCGAGACGTCTCAAAGCACTTCACAGAATATACTGTAAAGTGAATTGGCTGTATATTTTGTGGGCGCTTCCTATGAAGTACTTTGAAACGTCTCGACAACATGAAAGGTACAATATGTAACAATATTATTATTATTAGTGTCCGTCTCTTACAGGTTGGGCCCTTGGAAGGTAAAGTTGAGTCCTACCCTCACATTCAGGCAGTAATTTTCTTGCTGCCTGTTAACTAACCCCATGATAAAGTATAAAATGAGAACAGTTCTTTTTACCTGCCTTTTCTCCGTTGTAAAGCAAGAATGATAACCAAGTTATAGCAAAGCGCCTAAGGTTCACCATCCAAAGGCAGCAAAAGTAAAGGACAGGAAAGAGAATTAGACAAGAGACGTAGAGTTAGCATCACTACTGACATTTGATGAAAAACAAAGTGTTGAGATACTGCACGCAATACAGCTCCTCAAAGCTGTAAGTTTGAATCGTAAATACTCAAATTCCAATTTGATTAAAATATTTCACTCTGATGCATGAATGCACAATTTCAAAACCGGTATCACTGTGTTTTTCACATTTGCAAATTATAGGGCGGTGGCGCATTTGGCCTAATACCAGCAGTTTCACAGCAGAGAGGGTAAAGAAAGAACAAGGACATGATGCATACTGAAACACAAAAAGGAGCCTTTTCCATCATTAGAGGTCACAAAATTTCTCAAGGTCTCAGCCTCAAGACCATGATCTTTATTATGGAAAAGAACACACAACTCTGCTTTCATTTGGAATGACAAATAAATGAGAACAGATATCGGAAACTTTCTGCACAGAGTCTGTGTCAGTTCTACCTGTTATTGTAAATAGCCTCTTACCCTCTTTTATTATTAATCCCACTTCCCAGCTTGTTTCCCACATCCCTTCATGTTTTTATTGCCCAGAATTGCCCAATACTATTGCCCAGTATCCAGTTTGTATGATTCTATTAAATGGCCTGAACAGACAATTGTGGGAATGAATTCCAAAGACAGTTTCCAAATTAAAAAGTGTATTTAAGATTTTTTTCAAAGACCTGCAGTTTTAAATATTAAGAATGTTTAGTTACTTTGCCTTATACTCTGGAAGTCTCACTAAATCCTCGCTCCTCCCTCCCTCTCTCCTTTCAAAACCACATCCGACTGACTTTCCAGCCTCCCAGGTTCTCACCCATTGTCTATAAAGCACTCTGACACATTTCCATGTGAAAGCCAACGGATAAGTGCAAGTTGTAGTTGTTTAAGACCATGTCGTTAAGGCTAAAGCCATGAGTAATGTCAGGTCTCAGAGTTCAGCCAGTTAGCTGCTCCAAAATGATTAGTTACTTCCAGACGACAGAATCTGGTTGGAAATTGATTCAGAAACAGAATCCGCCAACATTCCATGTTAGGGAGAAAAAGGTGCCCTGATCACTTTACTGCGAAATATGTTACAGGAAAGGGAGATTACAAAGTAAACACCCAGGGCATACGATTTTATCGGAAATTAGAAAAAGACAATGAAAAATGAAAATAAAATGACACAGCAGTAAAATGCAGAGGTAGCTGGTTAAGCAGGACACATCAGAGCCGGCCGTTTCGTCCGGTTTGAGCAGCGTCCGAGGTTAACTGAAGTTCTCTTGAACCCTTTCCACCCATCAGAGGAGCGGGTGCGCCCCCTCCCCTCCCATTTCCGTTCCCAATGGACGGGAAGTGGACCTATTAGCAGAAGCTCCAAGGTGACTGGCAGCCTTAGGAGTTGCTTGTGAGTGGATGAGCACCGCACCTAACAATAATCAGCTCCAGACTTGTCAATCAAGACCAATTTGCCATCCCGGAGCTGCTCGTGGCTGAATAGAGTCGCTCAAGACACGAATGCACGAGTGAGTGATTGCAGCAGCAATCAGCGCAGCATTTTGTCCGGATTAACCGGATTGTTGTCCGGTGTACTTAAAATAGGTAAGAGTATAAATGAATCTGAGCTGTGCGTTTTTCATCCGATTTACTCGACCTACGCCCCAAGTGGCTTCCACAGTACCATTCCTCTTTTTTTTATCCAGTGAATTTAAACAACACAATAGAAACCATTGTTTGTGCTGGGTTGTTTACATTCACTGTGAAGTTTATAAATCGAGAGTCTTATAGTTATCATCATAATCAGCTCCAGACTACAATACCATCACTCAAACTCCTTGTAAGAGACAAACATAGATTGTAAAGCATATAGTGGATATAATATATATATTATACACACACACACTAATAAAGTACTAACAAAGGCAGCCCACTAAAGGCATCTGATGATCCTTTGTATAACTAATGACTCAGCTGTATAAATCTGGTGTCTGGAAAGCCCCGGGTATGAGTTTCCTTGTCTCATTCCCAGCTTCTTAAACTGACATCAGTAATCCTGAGCGAGTGACGGAGAAGGAAAAATAAAACCAGCCGTGAACTCGGCTCTCAACCAAACCAGTCGGGCCTCCACCTCTTATATGAGGGACAAGCTCTAGATTTTAAAATGCTATATTCCAATCACACATGAGCCCTTTGAAGTTAGCCTTAAATCTTCCACTGAGGTACCAAAACAGGTATAAAAACCTAATATTTAACAGATTAAGCAAATGCTACATTCAGGCTAAATAACTGTGCACTTCTACATAAGATTCATTCTCCTTCACTCTTAAAATCTCAAGTAACTCTGATGTTGACACTTACCCGAGAGCTATTTTGCGGAAGTAGTCATACGCATTCTCGGCGTTGAGTGGCAAGGTTGACAGCAGATTGTGGAACTCTAAATCGTATCTGCGGTTGATGTCATCTCCAATGACAGCAAGCTGCCGTCCAACAAGAGCTGTGGTGCTGGGGGGAGAGAAGGAGGGTGGGAGAGAATATGTGGTAAGAAGCAGATACTGCCAACATAAATAAACAAGTTCCTCCATCATTGTCTCCATTAAGCTATTTAGTAGAGCAAGCCTAAATAAATAGATCCTAATAAATATGAACCATTAGCTTTGCAAGCTGTAGATCTGTCGCTCACTCCATCAACCCTTGTCAAACGCACGGGTCGAGACAATGAGCCACTTGCTCTTAAATATTAAACAATGTTATCATGGGATGTAAATGGGATCTCAGAAAAAAAAGTGCAAAAAAAAACAAGGAAAAGGACTAGAATAAGGATAGGATTTAACCGCAGTTCAAAGCATTCCATTGGGCAAACTCAATTTAAAGACAGCTGATCTAAGGCACCATTAGTAGATTTGTCATAGTTTGTTTTCTTGGTTAAAGCATTCAAAGATATAGCCTCTTGACGGTTATGCAACTCACATTGTTGCACAACCTTTCACATAGGAGGGGAGGGCAGAGAAAATGTAATTCCTCCACCCTTCAACCATATGAAAACTCACAGTTGGCAAAGACGCTACCTGCCTGGTGTGCAGATGAGGAAGGTGCTAGGTTTCGTTTTGGTCCTTTGCTGTCAGACAACAAGTCAATACCCGCTGCTTCCTCTCGACTGTCTCCGGCCTCCTGCATATCCCTTGTGCCCTCTGTTGCACCATCAGTGGCCACACTTTCAGCCAGTATGCCCCAAAATTATGGAACACTCTTCTGCTATCCCTCTGCCTTGCCCCCTCTTTCCCCATCTTCAGATTGCGCCTTAAGTCCTTCCTCTATGTTCACCTCCTCCTCCCCCCAAACTAGGTGTTATTCCCCACCACTGTCAAGAACTCTGGGCCACTAAATAAATGCAAGTAGTTGTCGTTGTTGAATAAGATGTCTCATGTGAGTGAATCGGGTGAGGAAGTCATAGTTTACTAGCTTTGGGCCATTGTGTATTAGCTTGTGTCAATTGGTCTCTGTGCCTTTGGGGTAGGGAGGAACAATATCTTCTCAGTGGCTTCCAACAACAGTCAGATGCTCAATGACAGGTTGCTTCTCTCCACATACCTTATTTTTCAAACTAATCAATTTGGTTTCAAACTGGGGGTGGGGGGGAGCTGAATTAGCCCAATATCTGTGCACACTTTCTCCTATGTATTTTTGAACAATTGTTTGCCCATAGAAAACCTAATAGAAAAAAGTAAAGTAATGAACAACATCTATGCAGCAGCTTCTGATCTCGTCTGCGATTTGGGGGCGTAGACACCAAACATAGTAAAGCACTAAAGCATTTCTTGTCGAGAGGAGTAAAAGGGGCGACAAATCACCTTCAACTTCTCGTCCACTGTCTGTCCTTCACGGTCATTTCAGAGCAGACACACAGAGGTTGGAGATGACTTGGACTCGAAAATGCTGCGGGCGGATGAGGGAAGCTTCAAATAATAATTTGAGCTCAGAAACTGCACCCATTAGAACATTCTCGGCTTGATCAGGCAGCAGACTTTTGTACTCGAGACCATAAATTCCACCTGGTCTTGGCCTTTAGACCATTGTCTTAAAATTTAAGTTTGGACAGAATTTTAAAATTAAGTTAAGCAGTTTCCAAAATTCTGCAGCATTTTAAATTTCACAATGGTCTCAAGGCTGAGATTAGGTGCAATTCAGGTTTGCTACAGTACCAGAAAGTCTGTCTGGACTGAAATTGTATGAGAAATATCAGCTTTCTTGGTAAATTATTTGGTTTAATTTGTGATCTAGTAAAAGATTAACTGCATCAAAATCTCCAAGGTCAATTCAAACTCAGATTCATACAACCTGACATCATTGGTAGCATAATTAATAGTAATGGTAGCATAATTAGTTTCCACTTGTTGACGAGAACAAAATCAGAGGGCATAAATATAAGCGAGCCAGCAACAGATCTAATAAAGGAGTTCAGGAGGAACTTCTTCTTCACATAGAGGATGGTGAGAATGAGAAACTTACTAGTAGAAGCTGTGGTTGAAGCAAATAGCATCAATGTATTTAAGAGAAAACGTGACGCAAATACTGAGGGAGAAGAGAATAGAGTGGGGCAGGAGAGTAGGGGCGGGGGTTCGTATGAAGTGTAATCACTGGCACTAATTTGGTCGAATGACATTTTTCCACAGTGTACCACTCTGTGCAATTTTATGATAGAAGTTCTTTTAATGGGCAATTTTCACTTACTGAAAAGTTTTAAAGAATATTCTGGATGCACTGTTACATCCATCACATCATAATGCAAATGATCAGGAAATGCCAGTGTATCCGACAGAGCTTGGCTCTGCCAGCATAACACCTGCAGCACCCTTCATCAATTGCGCTACATGATGCGGCACCACAACAACAAATTGCATTTAAATAGTGCCTTTCACGTCAGGAGGAAGTCCCAAGGCGCTGGACAGAGCCCTTCACACCAGAAAAGTCTCTCTGCAACGTTAAGTCACCTCAGTCGGGGTCTGGGACAGTCAGTAAGGATGCTACTGCTCGTTACGCAATCGGCCTTGGGACAAGAGTGGGAAAACGAACCCCAGATCAATGTCCAAAGGGAGTGAAGGAACAGTGAAACCTGGGGGTGGCAGGAGGTAGATAAAGCTGCTAAAAAACGTGGGATACTAGGCTTTATGAATAAGGGCACAGAATACAAAAGTCAGGAAGTTATGATACACCATTATGAAACACTGGTTAGGTCTCAGCTAGAGACTGTGTTCAGTTCTGGGCACCACACTTTAGGAAGTATGTCAAGGCATTGGAGAGTGTAAAGGATATTTACCAGGATGGTACCAGGAATAAGGAACTTCAATTATCATGAGGCTAGAGAAGCTAGGATTGTTCTCCTTGAAGCAGAGAAGGTTAAGATGAGACTTAATAGAAGTTTTCAAAATTATGAGGGGATTCAAAAGTGTGAACAAGGAGAAAGTTTTCCATTGGCAGACAGATCAGGGCACCGATTTAAAATAGTTGTTAAAAGGAAGAGAAATGTTTTCACACAGCGAGTTGTTCGGATCTGGAATGCATTGCCTGAAAGGGTGGTGGAAGCCGATTCGATAACAACTTTTAATTATTTTGGGAGAACAAGTTTGCAGGGCTATGGGGAGAGCGGGAGGAGTGGGATTGAATTGGATAGCTCTTTTCAAAGAGCTGGCACAGACAAGATGGGCTGAATGGCCTCCTTCTGTGCTGTATAATTCTATGATTTTTGTTGGGAAACAAAAAGCAAAACCAAAAATGACTTATAACCAAGAGATGAATTAGCTGGACAGCATTCTATTTCCTGGCAAACACTGATTAGATATCTCTAATCTTACATTTAATGAATACCACCAATAGCAAACCTTTCAGGTGATTGATGCATCTCTGCTATTTCTGGATCCTCTGGGACATTCCCTCCTTCTTCCCTCTCGGTCTGGTACCGGAAAAAGACATAGCTTCTGAAAACCTCTTCAGTCTCTTGTACAACGCCTTCCTCTGGGGAGAACAAACAGGAAGAAATTCCACCTGGGTCTAGGTTTACTCTATTTATGACCATCTTTTCAAGCACGCCCTTCAGAGTCGTGAGACTGGTCAACGGCAAAATGAATACAGCAAGCTTCAACAGCTTCATGAAGATAGAGGCAGAGAGAACTGTGGTCACAGAGAGACAAAATGTTGTTGGTGACATATTACTCACACAGATACACAACAAAGCTCAAACTCTGCCCGAAAATGCTAATTTGCTTTGACCTCAGAACACGGGATACATCACCAGTGCGGGCTTGTTCATTTTTCACATAAGTTATCCTAAAATCAAATTAAACTGTAGAATCCACCCCACTGGGACTGTGGTTCTGACTCCCATCACTCCCTCTTGTTTGGTTTTCGGCACATTGTAAAAATTGTTTTACGTTATTGTGGTTTTGAAAATCAGCATAAAAGGTTAGTGTGAGCCCACATCCATCCAATGCTAGAACGAGATGCCAGAATTGGAAATTTGTTGGCAAGTTATTTTCAGAATGGGAGCTAAATAAATACAGCAAGATCCCAGACACACATCCTGCACGTCGAAACTTCAGTATACAGACAGAATTGTTAGTTTGTTCTTACAATTTGCTCTCTACAGTGCCAAAAACTCTGACAGACATCCTTATTGTCCAGACAGATAAGATCAACAAAGCCCAATTGAAACAAAAACACCTGAAGTGTGCTGTGTCACGATGTGATGAGTCAGCACTGTACGCAGTATTGATCAGTATGTAATGGATGAGTCATGTCACCATTTGATGTAAACAGGAAGTCAGCTAGAGGAATTGTTATGATTTCCCCACTTTATCTTTTCCTATAAACAACAACAAGTACTACAATCTAGGTGTCTGGGATTAGGGCATGAGTTACTAACCACCATCTGACTGACGAGTCCCTGATCTTGGGTGACTTAGAGGAAAGCTGTTACCACAGAGCTGTAAACTGCAGATTATAGCTCAATATTATGACTCGAGAATTGAAACCGAGTAAACACTTTCTCGGGGGGGGGGGGGCGGGGGGGAGAGAAAGAAAAGTCATAGAATCCACTCACTGAGCCAGTCCAGAACCTTAGTGTCTTGTTGATCCTCAACTTTCCTTTCTACCCCATATTCGTGCCATGACCCGCTCAGCCTTCCCCCACCTCCGCAACATCACCCGGCTCACTTTGCAGGCTGGCAAAACTCTCATACGCGCATTCATAGCATCCGGGTTTGGCTATGCAAACTCCTTGCTTGTTGGCCTCCACAACTCCTCCCTCCATAGGCTGCAGATTATCCAAAACCAGCCATCTGTGTCAGCGACCCCATCACCCCCATCCTTGCCCAACTCCACTGGCTTCCCATCACACTGAGGATACAGTTCAAGATCCTGGTCCTTACCTTCAAAGGCCTCCATGGCCTCACTGGTCCCCACTTCTGCAACCTCCTAACCATATTAATAACAATCCTTGCATTTGATATAGCACTTTTCACATCTTCTAGACGTCTCAAAGCGCTTCACAGAATATATTATAAAGTGAATTGACTGCATATTTGTGTGCGAAACACAGCAACCAATTGCGCACAGCAGTGTCCCATAAGCAGTCGTTAATTGAAGTGACCCAATTATTATTGTTTTTTTTTCTTGAGGGATATTATCAGACATGTGGAGTAGAAATCTTGCCCAAGGTTTCGCCCTACCGGTAATCAAACCTAGATCTCTCGCTTGCGAGGCAAGTTCTCTAACCACTGAGCTACAGGACTCCACGACCATCTACCAACCTGCCTACTCAGGCCTGCTTCACGTCCGCCGCCTTGCACGCCTCACCATTGGCAGGCAGGGCTTTAACCCACTCTGCCCCCACCCTCTGGAACTCCATCCCGCTGTCCTTCTGCCTCGCCCCTCCTTTGCATCCATCAAGACCCATCTCAAGACCCTACTCTTTGACCATGCCTTCGATCACCTTCCTTCCGCCCACCACCCCTGCCCTCCACCCTCCCCAATCCCGACTAGTGAAACACTGACTGTCCAACATCTTGGGAAGTCCTCCCGATGTGAAAGGCGCTATACAAATGTAATTTTGTTTTTGCTGTAGATACTAGATAGACACAGCAAGCCTGCTTGGAAGGAGGCTCAGTGGTGGTGAGGAGAAATGGAAGATTTAAAAATATTATCTTTAAAAACTTAGAGTGGCATTTGACATGTGCAAACAAGGAATCAAAGCCATTAGCACCTTGGGACGTCCTCCCGACATGAAAGGCGCTATACAAGTGTAATTTGTTGTTGTTATTAAGTTTAATCAAAAAGAACCAGGCACGATTTTGAATTAAATGGCATGTTTTACCTGCTGCTTTTAATAAACATTGCCCTGGAATATACAAAAATGTCAAAGTATTACAAAATTTCTATTTCAATATTACCCTGTGTTTTGCGTAATGGTCAGTTTTCTATTCTCAAACTGAAAATACACAGTACTTTTTTTTACTCAGTCGGGTGTCTGACACCTGAGGAAACCCATCACCATTGTTTAATAGAACTATTTAAACCAGACAGAGTTCCACATATGTATATCCCCTATCTGGAATGGAATGCACACTCTCTCCCTGGTGGGACACACACTGGTTATCTAATTCTGGAGAGTATTAGGTGCACGTTGGCAAAAGATAAGGCTCTGGGACCTCAGAGTGTATGTTGGGGTACTCTTGAAGTTTTGATCAGCTAAATCTACATGGCTTGCCACTGACAGCGAGATTACTTTAATCTACAAATCTCAAATCCCATTTATGTTTTGAGAAAACCAAGCATTGAGAAGCTAGCTTGTTCAGAGCCTGTCCATTCAAAGCTAATCTGAACCAGCCATTTTTCAATTCTCCATTCAATACATTCTTAATCAGACACTCACCTGTGACAGGCCTTGAAGGACGCCTGTGAAGGTTCTTTCGGTTCCTGGGTAGATTGGATCTGAAGGGATCTCCATCTCCGCCTGAGGCCATAGCGTCACCCTGCTGACTGTAGTCAATCTACAAAAAACAATGTCAACATGAGCAAAGATTCTCTCTCAACCTAGCAAACAATGCAAGAACAAAATGATAGATTTGACAAATTCAATCCAAACAGGCACAGGCCCCATTGCTAAGAGTCAAGGTCAAAACATGCTATTTGACCCATCAAGGAGAACATGATAGAATAAACCAGCTTCTTGCACCCTTTTATGCACAAATTCAACAACTTGTATTTACGCAGCGCCCTTCACGTGGAGTCGCATCCTGGATTGCTTAAGATTCTAATGTGTTACAAGCTTTAACATTCCTGGATAGACATTCACAGGTCATATACCCACTAACAAAATAAAGTCATGTCCTCCTCACCACAGCTTCTCTATTAGTACATGCCTCAAGCTCCACCACCTTGCCAAAACAATCAGGTCTAAACCTTATGCTTTACAAGCAACCCAAAATAATCAGGAATAATGGTGCAAGAAGATACATCATGTAACTAAGCTATGTGAAGGGCGCTATATAAATGCAACTTGTTGTAAATTATGCTTATGTTTTACTTCGAGTCTAAAAAGATCACAAGTTGTTTATTTTTGAATCCAAGAAAAAGGAATGTACAAAAATATAGTGATTATTATCTGCTTTGCCATGCACGAGTTATCTTATAACTAATTGATCCATGCCACGAAATATAACCAATATCTTTAAAAGACAGTAAATGTGAACAACAAATGATACAACACATAAATCATAACTGCACCAGTCCATTAAAAGAACCATTGTATCAATGGGAGGTACAAGCTGCAAATTTCTAGACTGAACAGTTCTGAGATACAATACAAATTTACATTTATACAGTACTTTTTATATTTTATATTATTATATAGATTGGGTGGATGTCCCAAAGTGCTTAACAGTGCTGGATGGGCACCCGAGCTGGGGTTGGGAGCGGGAAAATGACTAAAAACATGATCAAAGAGGAACGTCTTGAGACGGACCTCCAGGGTGGAGTTCCAGAGCGTGGGTGCAGAATATCTGAAGTCCGTCTGCCGATGGCGTTCGCTGAGCGAAAGGGGCCAAGTTGGTAGGGTTTGAGGTGGTCACAGATGTAGTAGGGTCGGCAAGGCTTAAAGATGAGTACGAAGATCTTGAACTTTATCCGCTGAAGGATGTGGAGCCAAGTGAGGATTTGGGTGGTAATAATAATAATAATCCTCGCATTTGATATAGCGCTTTTCACGTCAGGAGGACGTCCCAAAGCGCTTCACAGAACACACTGTAAAGTGAATTGACTGTATATTGGTGGGCGAACGCGGCAGCCAATTGCGCACAGCAATGCATCAATGGTTTGACATTCTTCACGATTAGGATACCATCAGCACCTTAAAAAATGCAATACACCATTGAACACTTACTTCTATCAGTGTATCTAGGTTAGATATCTAATCCAATCCATAGGATATTCTAAACCACGAGAATGAAGCTCAAATTATACAAGACAGTCACTTGAATCCAGGTATTTTATTACAGCTCATAAGTGACTTCAACACACGGCTATTGTTAAACTCCGCTCTGCCAGACAATAAAGCAAGCAGAGGTTCACTTTGTGACTTGGATCCAATTAGTTTCTTTATTTCTAATAACACAGTGGGGTGGGTGGAAGGGGGTTTGGAAATGATCTGTCTGGCTACAATGTGCATTGAGAACCCAAAACTGCTGAGCCTGATTTCAGTATCCCAGCCACTGCCTCAAATTTATATCAGCAAATACCACAGATCAAGAATCAAATCAATGTGTCAAATATCAATGCAGTTTTTTTTAAACACTTGGTTACTTAAGGAATAGGATAGAGTATTTTCAAAATAAGTACTTTCCATATAGGTAAAAGCTAAATTTAGAAATATTTCCATGCAGGAGCTTGCCTCTAGTTTTTAATAATATTTACTTCCAACATAGCCTTTTCTCATCTGCCCTCCATACTGCGGATTTGACATCAGCTATGAGGGAAGTGAGCATCCATTTCAGCCTTGATTACCGCTTAGGTGACGACACACTCGTGACTTGAGTAAACAAACATTAATTGACCACCTCTACACAAAGCTCAGTTTTATACAAGCACCTTAAAAAATGATAGGACATTTCCAATCTTTGGGTTCATATGAGGTACAAACTACAGAAATGTTAGGAACAGGAAAACCCTTTCAGACCTCTCATTTCCTCTCTAAAGAAATCCAAATATTTGTCTCTTGAACCTTTCCTGGCAACTCGTTCCACATGTATTCTCTCACCACACTCTCTGTTGAGGGCCTCATCTGAATTTCTGCCTTGTAATCGCTTTCAAACATCAATTATTTTAATGTAACAAAGATTACTTACCTCAATGTTCAATATATTTCCTTCAAACAATAACCGGTACCAAAGATCACAAGCAATGTTTTTCTACACACCACTGTCATGGCGTGATTGTAAATTCCACCCCTAATACAAGCAATAGCTTAACATTTTCAAAAGAAAAATTTTAGCAAGGCTGAAATAATTGTAGTCCAAAGAAGCTATTCTGCTTTCAGCCCAACCACAATAGAACATTAAGAATTTAGGTATCAGGTTACATTTTCAACTGGTAACCAAACTATCAATTGACAGAACTTTGGATCATTGTGAATTCTACGACAGAGGAACTGTTAAGGTAACACACTGACATGTTTTAATACAAATTATCTGCAAAAGCTTCAAATCTTGAGTCTCCAATCACATTAGACGGTAGATTTTCAATCAGTGACTGATGTGCTCCAAATGTATACTAGTTGTTTACATAGCCCAGTCATTACATTTTCATTGCACAAAGTATTTTAAGAAATCCCCACATTAAGATGCATGTCATTTACTTTTAGAACCATCAAGAACAAATCTATAAAGTCCATCGTATCATTCCAACCTTTCATTCAATGTTCAGCAGGTGTAATGAGTACTCACCAGCACCGATTATTGGCTCATAGATGTTTCCAACATAAAAGGCAGGTTATAGTCTTTTATGTTGCAAATAGTTATATTATTAGATCAACTTACGATCACAACAGCAGCGAGTACAACACCCCTGAGCAGAGTCAGTTTAGCGAATCCCCACAATAAGATCCCGTGTCACTATTCAAAATGAGATGGGGAGTTTCTCTCAACGTCTCGACCAATCCTCAAACAATCTCCAAAAATAAACTGGCCATTCCCCTCATAGCTGCATGTGGTGATATGTACAAATTGGCTGCCAGGTTCACACCACAAGTATGGGGGGTCATTTGGTTCCATAATTCTAAAATATACGCCCTACAGCTCTAACGCCACAGCTATTTTTAAACAAGTCTGAGCATCTTATTTAACCTCCCTTTTGTTTGGCCCACAAAACACACAGCCAAAACCACATTGCAGTGTATCCTGTGAAGCGATCTGAGATGACGTGTTAATTTACTGTATCAAATACAAAGATTATTATTAATAATTCTAGTAACCAGTTAAGTGGTTGTTAATTACCCTCTGGGGCAAAAAAAATCATCTCAGCAGTTTGATCTGAAAACAGCAGTTAGCTTACAAAACACACACAAGTCATGGCACTTTACAGTGATTACACACCCTAAAAACAATCAACAAAATAAAACCGCTGGACATTGCTGTGCACAAACTATCTGTGGCGTTCACCCACAGTCACTACACAGGGAGGGAGATGTAGGTGGGACCTGTGTTGTGACTGTTTGTGGGTGAACACAGCAAAAAAAAACTTGCACTTATATAGCGCCCTTCACACAGGGTAGCGCCTCAGACCGCTTAACAGTGGCGGAGCCTGACTCTGAGCCGGGGGGGGGGTGGGGGGAGGTGGCCATAAGCACGGTTGAAGAGGAAAGTTTTCAGGTGGAACTTGAAAGAGGGAAGAGAGGGGGCAAGGCGGAGGGATTGAGGGAGTGTTCCAGAGTTTTGGAGCGTAGTGGCTGAAAGATGGGGCGGTTAATGCGACAGTCGAGCAGAAGGCCGATGCCAGGAGAGCGGAGGCACTGGGTGGTGGATTGTGGACTGAGGAGGTAGGAGAGGTTCCAGGGAGTGAATGGATTTGAACCGAGTGTGAGGATGTTGAAGTCAATCCATTCGGTGATGGGGAGCCAGTGGAGCCTGACCAGAACTGCTGAGATGTGGGTACGGAGTTCGGTCAAGGTCAGTACGCCGCCAGCAGAGTTTTGAACGAGCTGGATCTTGTGAATGGCGGAGCTGGGGGGCGACCGCTGAGGATGCGTTGGGAGTCATCCAAGCTTTGGGGTTCGGCTGCATTTGGGGTAAGGTTATGGTAGGAGGCGGGCAATGTGGCGGAGGTGGAAGAAAGCGGTCCTGGTCAGGGACCAGATGTGGGGGAGGAAGGACAACTGCGGGTCGAACCGGACGCGTAGATTGGGCACTGGTTCGGTGAGTCTGAGGGAGAGCCCAGGGAGGTTGAGGCGTTTAGATCCACAGGAGTCGAGACGTTGACGGGAGCCAAGGTTTACGGCTCGGCCGTCTCGTCCGTAGTCAGCTGCGGGAAGTTTACACGCATCCAGGCCTTGATGTCTGGATGAGTGTAGTGACTGTGTTTGTGGGTGAACACAGCAAACAGTCTGAGGAGTGTAGTGCTGACCCTGTTGGTGGGTATCTGTGTGGTGACTGTGTCTGTGAACTCGGCAGACAGTGTGAAGAGGAAGGGAGGGGTTCACCAAACTCAGCAATAACTATTATTAATCGTTAAAAAGATAATCCTTGCGTTTGGTAGTAGCGCTTTTCCCCTTTTTTTTCAGACGTCTCAAAAGCGCTTCACAGAAACGGACTGTAAAATGAATTGACTGTATATTTCGTGGCCGAAATGATGATAATAATAATAATAATAATAATAATAATCCTCGCATTTGATATAGCGCTTTTCACGTCGGGAGGACGTCCCAAAGCGCTTCGCAGAACACACTGTAAAGTGAATTGACTGTATATGTCGTGGCCGAAATGATGATGGTCGACGGGTGCGGGTTGTCAGGCCTGCGGGCGGGCGGGAGGGAGGGAGGGCCCCGGGTTTGCTTGTGGTCCGTGGGGCAGGGAAGGGAAGGGAAAGGAGGCGGCGGCCGGCGCCGGAGCCCAAGACGCAGGCCTCGCCCTCTCTTTCCAGCCGAACCTGCCCGGTCGCGCCTCTGCCCGGAGCCGCCGGGCGTTACGCACGGTCCCCTGTCTGACCCGAACCCGGGGCCGAAGCCGCTACTCACCCGCTGCCGCTCGGCGTGTGGCCGCCCCGCGCGCGCTCTGTCACCCTCACACGACGGCGGTGAGTGAGGAGGGCGGCCCCTGCCGACCAGCCGTGAAACCCCAGTGGACGCCGCCTCCGACCCCGCCAACCTCGCGCCGCGGCTGCGGAAGGAGGGCGGGCGCTGGGCCTGACGGACACCTGGCCGCAACCAATCCGGGCACACACCGGCCGCCCTCCAGCCAATCGCCGCGCCGCCGCCGGGGCGGGACACCGCCCACTCGGTTGGGTTGCCTGGCTGCACGGCCCCGTGCCGCTCCAGTGACGTCACCGCTCCTGAGGAGCGCTTGGACTACAGTTCCCGTGATGCCGCGCGGGCTGTTGCGCCTGCGCAGTGAGCTGAGGCCTGCTGAGCCCGCTGGAGCCTGCAGCCGCCGCCCCTCCCCTCAGTGCGGGATCTTCATTACATTAATAACACCCCCCCCCCCCCCCCTCCCCCCCCGCCCCGTCGCTATGTCGGGGAGAGTGAAATGGGTGACGGACATTGAGAAATCGGTGCTGGTGAATAATTTTGAAAAGCGCGGCTGGGTACAGACATCTACTGACGAGGAGTGGAACTTCTACTGGTCAGTTACACACCCCCTCATACACCCTCATACACCCCCTACACACCCCCTCATACACCCCCTACACACCCCCTCATACACCCTCTACACATCCCCTACACACCCCCTCATACACCCTCTACACACCCCCTACACACCCCCTCATACACCCTCTACACACCCCCTCATACACCCTCTCATACACCCCCTCATACACCCTCTACACACCCCCTACACACCCCCTCATACACCCTCTACACACCCCCTCATACACCCTCTCATACACCCCCTACACCCCCTCATACACCCTCTACACACCCCCTCATACACCCTCATACACCCTCTACACATCCCCTACACACCCCCTCATACACCCCCTACACACCCCCTACACACCCCCTCATACACCCTCATACACCCTCTACACATCCCCTACACACCCCCTCATACACCCTCTCATACACCCCCTACACCCCCTCATACACCCCCTACACACACCCTCCTCATACACCCCCTACACACACCCTCCTCATACACCCCTTACACACACCCTCATACACCCCCTACACACCCCCTCATACACCCTCTCATACACCCCCTACACACACCCTCCTCATACACCCCCTACACACACCCTCCTCATACAGCCCCTACACCCCCCCCTCATACACCCCTACACACACCCTCATACACCCCCTACACACCCCCTCATACACCCTCTCATACACCCCCTACACACACCCTCCTCATACACCCCCTACACACACCCTCCTCATACAGCCCCTACACCCCCCCCTCATACACCCCCTACACATCCCCTCATACACCCCCTACACACCCCCTCATACACCCCCTACACACCCCTTCATACACCCCCTACACACCCCCTACACACCCTCATACAGCCCCTACACACCCCCTCATACACCCCCTACACACCCCCTACACACCCCCTCATACACCCCCTACGCACCCCCTCATACACCCCCTACGCACCCCTTCATACACCCCCTACGCACCCCCTCATACACCCCCTACGCACCCCTCATACACCCCCTACGCACCCCCTCATACACCCCCTACGCACCCCCTCATACACCCCCTACGCACCCCCTCATACACCCCCTACGCACCCCCTCATACACCCCCTACGCACCCCCTCATACACCCCCTACGCACCCCCTCATACACCCCCTACGCACCCCCTCATACACCCCCATACACCCCCTCATACACCCCCTACGCACCCCCTCATACACCCCCTACGCACCCCCTACGCACCCCCTACGCACCCCATACACCCCCTACGCACCCCCTCATACACCCCTACGCACCCCCTCATACACCCCTACGCACCCCCTCATACACCCCCTACGCACCCCCTCATCATGCAGCCCCTACGCACCCCCTCATCATGCAGCCCCTACGCACCCCTCATCATACAGCCCCTACGCACCCCCTCATCATACAGCCCCTACGCACCCCCTCATCATACAGCCCCTACGCACCCCCTCATCATACAGCCCCTACGCACCCCCTCATCATACAGCCCCTACGCACCCCCTCATCATACAGCCCCTACGCACCCCTCATCATACAGCCCCTACGCACCCCCTCATCATACAGCCCCTACGCACCCCCTCATCATACAGCCCCTACGCACCCCTCATCATACAGCCCCTACGCACCCCCTCATCATACAGCCCCTACGCACCCCCTCATCATACAGCCCCTACGCACCCCCTCATCATACAGCCCCTACGCACCCCCTCATACAGCCCCTACGCACCCCCTCATACAGCCCCTCATACACCCCCTACGCAGCCCCTCATACACCCCCTACGCAGCCCCTCATACACCCCCTACGCAGCCCCTCATACACTGCCGACATACACCCTCATATACCCCCACATCCTCATACACACGCACTCCCCCCTCATACACACACACATGCAAACCCTCATACACACACCCTCATATACCCACTACACACACCCTCATACACGCCCATACACACGCACCCCCCCTCATACACACACACGTGTACCCCCCCTCATGCACACACCCTCATATACCCCCAACACGCACCCTCATATACCCCCGACACGCACCCTCATATACCCCCTACACACACCCTCATGTAACCCCTACACACACCCTCATGTAACCCCTACACACACCCTCATGTAACCCCTACACACACCCTCATATACCCCCTACACACACCCTCATATACCCCCTACACACACCCTCATATACCCCCACACCCTACACACACCCACCCACACACATCTTCATATATGCCCATCCCCTCATATACATCTTACACACACCCCCCATATACACACACACTCTCATATACTTATTACCATAATGAAAGGATTGGGCGTATGAACGACTGGCTGGAAAAATGGTCCAGAAAAGAAAGTTTCTGTTTTGTGGACAATTGGGACCACTACTGGGGGAGGTGGGATCATTACCTTGCGGATGGGCGGCACTTAAGCAAGGCAGGGGTTAGCTTCCTGGCCAAGAGATTATCGAATGCTGGGGGGCTAATTTAAACTAGTGGCGAGGGGGCGTGGGTATCCCAGGATAAACAATAGATTAGGGAATAGAGGAAAAAGACAAGAGGGAAATATAGAGCAGGTACATGTGGACAATTTCCTCAAATGCATGTACTTAAATGCACGGAGCTTAGGGAATAAGGTTGATGAGCTGCAGGTTCAACTGGCCGTAGGGGGTTACGATGTGGTGGCAGTAACTGAGACATGGCTCAAGCCAGGACAGGAATGGGAGATAAATATTCCAGCGTATAATGTGTTCAGGAAGGATAGAGAAGGAAGAAAGGGTGGAGGGTGGCAATATTAGTTAAGGATACAATTGTAGCTGTAGAAAGGGACGAGACTCTAGAGGGCCCGACAACAGAATCGATCTGGTTAGAGGTCAGAAATAGGAAAGGAGTGGTTACACTGATAGGGGTTTACTATAGACCACCAGATAGTGGGAAGGAGATAGAAGAGCAGATCTGCAACCAGATCACGGACAGATGTAGGGCGAACAGAGTTGTCATAATGGGGGATTTCAATTATCCCAATATAGATTGGCAAAATAGCAGCGTTAAGGGCAAGGCAGGAGAAAGATTCATCAACTGTGTACAGGAAAATTTTCTTGAGCAGTATGTCTCCAGTCCTACAAGGAAGGAAGCATTGCTGGATCTTGTCCTAGGGAATGAAGTAGGTCAGGTTGAACAAGTTTCGGTAGGGGAGCATCTAGGTAACAGTGACCATAATATTATTAGATTTAGATTACTCATGAACAGGGACAAAGTACAGTCAAGGGTGAAAATGCTTGACTGGAAAAGAGCTAATTTTGATGGGCTAAAGAGGGACCTAGAGTTGGTGGACTGGCAAGTAAGAATGGCAGGTAAAACAACTCATGAGCAATGGGAAATCTTCAAAGATACGATAGCTCAAGGTCTAAATAGATATATTCCCACAAAAGGGAAATGTGCGAGAACCAGCCGGCCTGGATGGCCAGGGATATTCTGTCTAGGATGAAAAAGAAGAAGATGGAGTACGACAATTGGCGGATGTGAGACACTGAGGATAGCAAAGCGCATTATAGAGAATGCAGGAGTGATCTTAAAAGAGCGATAAGACAGTCTAAAGGAGCACATGAGAAGAGGTTAGCGGGTAACATAAAGGGGAATCCTAAAATATTTTACAAGCACATAAAGGAAAAAAGGTTAGTTAAAGGTAGGGTGGGGCCAATCAAAGACAATGACGGCAATCTTGTTGTGGAGGCAGAGGGCATGGCTGATGTACTGAACGAGTACTTTGCATCTGTCTTCACAACGGAAACGGATGCCCCAAATGCCGCAGTATTGGATGAGAGGGTAGAGGACATAGATCAGATTACTATAGACAGAGAGGAAGTTCTGAAAAGATTGACTGGGCTCAAAATTGATAAGTCACCAGGACCAGATGGGTTTCACCCAAGGTTGCTGTGGGAGATACGGGTTCAAATAGCGGAGGCTTTGGCCATTATATTTCAATCGTCATTGGACACAGGAGTGGTGCCAAGAGACTGGAGAGTGGCTAATGTTACCCCACTCTACAAAAAGGGGCAGAAAGACAAACCCGGAAATTACAGGCCAGTCAGCCTAACTTCGGTAATAGGAAAGCTACTGGAGACCGTAATCCGGGACAGAATAAATCTCTACTTAGAGGAACACGAGGTAATTAGAGACACCCAACATGGATTTGTTAAAGGCAAATCTTGCCTAACAAATCTAATAGAATTTTTTGAAGAGGTGACTGCGAGGGTTGATGAGGGAAATGCGGTGGACATTATTTACATGGATTTTAAAAAGGCTTTTGACACAGTACCGCATAAGAGGTTAATAAAAAAAACTGGAGGCCCACGGTATTAAGGGGACAGTGGCAGTTTGGATTAGGAACTGGTTGAGTGACAGAGCAGAGGGTGGTGGTTAATGGGTGTTTCTCGAAATGGAAGGAGTTGTGCAGCGGTGTCCCCCAGGGATCGGTATTGGGACCACTGCTCTTTCTAATATATATTAATGATCTGGACTTGGGTATAGGGAGCACTATTTCCAAGTTTGCAGATGAGGGGTAGTAAATAGTGAAGAAGATTGAACATACAGAGAGATCTGGACATTCAAGTAAGCGATTCATTGAAGGTGGCAGAGCAGGTAGATAGGGCAGTAAAAAAGGCATTTGGTGTACTGAGCTTCATTTGTTAGGGGCATAGAGTATAAGAGTAGGGAAGTAATGCTTAATCTGTACAAAACACTGGTTAGGCCTCAGCTGGAGTACTGCGTCCAGTTCTGGGCACCTTACTTCAGGAAGGACATTAAGGCACTGGACAGGGTGCAGAGGAGATTCACGAGAATGATACCCGGAATAGGGAACCTTAGCTATGAGGACAGTGGAGAAGTTAGGACTTTTCCCATTAGAGGGCGAAACCTTGGGCAAGTTTCCTTACTCCACACAGAGCCTAATAATAATCCCTTCAAAAAACAAAACAATAATAAATTTGTCATGTTCAATCTACGACTGTTTGTGGGACATTGCTGTGCGCAATTGGCTGCCGCGTTCGCCCACAAATATACAGTCAATTCACTTTACAGTGTGTTCTGTGAAGCGCTTTGGGACGTCCTCCCGACGTGAAAAGCGCTATATCAAATGCAAGGATTATTATTAGAGCAGAGAAGGTTACGCGGGGACCTGATAGAGGTCTTCAAGATCATGAAAGGTTTCGACAGGCGAGATAGGGAAAAGCTGTTTCCGCTGATAGGTGTGTCTGTGACCCGCGGTCACAGTCTTAAGATATCTACCAAAAGAAGCAGAGGGGAGGTTAGAAGAAATTTTTTCACTCAGCGAGTTGCTCAAATTTGGAATGATCCGCCCGAAAGGGCAGTGAAGTCCGATTCGATAACAGCTTTTAAGAGAGAACTGGATAGGTATCTGGAGAAGACAGGTTTGCAGAGTTATGGGGAGAAAGTTGGTGAGTGGGGTTAATAAAAGTCAGTTGCTCTGTCGAAGAGCCGCACAGACTCGATGGGCCGAATGGCCTCCTTCTGTGCCGTAACATTCTATGATTCTATGACACACACACACCGTCATATACACACACACTCTCATATACACTCTACAAACCCTCATATACACCCTACACACACCCTCACATACACACAGACACCCTCTCGCGTGCCCGCCCTCATACACACGCACACCCTCATACGCACGTGCAACCTCATATATAGACACACACACAGCCTCTCATTTACATACACGTAAGAACATAAGAATTAGGAGCAGGAGTAGGCCATTCGGCCCCTCGAGCCTGTGCCCCGCCATTTAATAAGATCATAGCTGATCTTCAGACCTCACTCTAATTACCCGCCCTATCCCCATATCCCCTAATCCCTCTGTTTTAAAAAATCTATCAGTCTCAGCCTTGAAGATGTTCAAGGACTGAGTATCTACAGCCTTCTGAGGTAGTAAATTCCATAAATTCACTACCCTCTGAGTGAAGAAATGTTTCCTCAACTCTGTTCTAAAAGGCTGACCCTTAATTTTAAGACTGTGACCCCTGGTTATAGATTCTCCTATTGGGGGAAACAGACCCTCAGTGACTACTTTATCAGCCCTTTAAGAATCTTATATGTTTCAATAAGATATCTCCTAAGATCACACCCTCATTTACACACACACCCTCTCATTTACACACACACCCTCAAAAATACACACACACCCTCAAAAATACGCGCCGCGCATCCTCATACGCGCCACGCATCCTCATATACAGATACCTTCATATACATACACACCACAAACACACATACTCTTATACACACGTACCGCCTCATACACACACACCACAAACCCTCATATAAACACACTCTTACACCCCCCAAATTCACAACACACACTGCACATTGTCACACATTGACACACTGGTCAGTTAACTCCCCCAACACACACACACACACACAGCCCCACCCACACACAACCCACACTGTCAGTTACTCCCCCATAACCCCCTCCCACCATCACCACACATACATGTTGCACACTGTCACACGCTGATCAGTTACAAATCTTCCCCCCCACACACACTCGCACACTGTCACACACACTCACTCACACGTTGTCACACAGGCTGACACACTTAGTGTCTCTCACACACACACACAAAGTCACATAGTGCACACAGCGACCGGCATCACACAGCCATTAATGTTATGTTGATATAATGGTACACAGAAATAATGTTATACAGAAATAATGTTATACAGGGATAGTGTCATAATGTTAACCTCGTTTAGCTTTAACTTGCATTTTTAATGTATCCTCATCACTCTTTAATGTAGTTGATTCCTTAAATATTTAATTTTTATGTTTACAATTTTATTTTTTAACTAGTTGCCCCAGTGCGTCGTGCCGCTGCCCGAGACCGCCTCATGGTCAGCCCAGAAGTGGCTGAAACAGTGTTGATCTAACGTGACTGTCCGTGCGCCTGGGGAGGTGATCAGACTGTGGGCACACAATACTACATAACTGTGGTTCCTGCTGCCCACCCACGGTGACAGTGGTGGGTATGGTGACTTAGGCAGACGGCTGAAAAGTCTTTGTTTTACTATCGAAGCTTCCGGGTTTGCTGCCTGTTAGATGATCAGCCGGGGCAGTGTAATTGGCCTCCGTGCCCCTGGGTCAGAGAGGGGAACTCTCAGCCAGGATTCCCACTCCTGAACACAAGCCAATGATTCCTGTTGGAAAGTGTGAATTTTTGGGCTATTGGATAATAATAATAATCCTTCCATTTGATATAGCGCTTAGGGGCACACGTGAGAAATGACCACTTGAGTGAGGTACCTGAGGGTTGTCGGCACAGCTGGAACTACCCTGTTAGCTTGTTTTTATACCCTCTAAATTCTACTTTTAGGAGAGCAGTGTAAAATATTGAGGGTGTAAAGATTAACTGCCTCAATATGTTGAGCCATCTGGTGTGAGGTCATGCTCCAACTTACTCTGAGGGTCACCAGGCTCAAGTGATAGTGGTTGGAGGCATCGAAAAGACCAAGAGTGGTACTTTGCTTCGAATGGAGGGAAGAGAATCATACCCTCAACGGAAGAAAACAATTGGAGGTATTTCAATGCCTAGTCATTGTATGTTTGAAATCAAAGAAAGCCTTGAACTGATGCACTTGTGTTTTAGGATGAGCGTGCAGACAATTCGAAATGTTTTCAGCATTGAAAGTGGCTACCGTCTGAACGATGACCAAATTGTGAACCACTTCCCCAATCACTATGAGCTGACACGGAAGGACCTGATGGTGAAGAATATCAAGCGGTATCGGCGTGAACTGGAGAGGGATGGCAGTCTGCTGGTCGAGAAGGATGAAAATGGCAAACACATTCACTTGGGTAAATTGCAGAACCTCAATGTGATCATTTTAAATTCTTATTCCATTCACATTTTCAAGACTGAGGTGGATAGATAATTGTTAGGTTAGGGTATTAAGGGATACGGGGTAAGGGCAGATAATTGGAGTTGAGGTACAGATCAGCCATGATCTTATAGAACAGGCACGAGGGGCTCAATGGCCTACTCCTGTTTCTATGTTTCTATTCTCGGAGATGATTCACTTACATTGAGAACAACTCCTTCCACGTCAGAATTGAGGAGCTCCATCCATTAGGACGGTGTTTTGTCGTTCACTGTCATGATTCATTTAGTGCGGTCAAAAGTTCTGAGAATGTTCTGTCATTTCAGAGCCTTATGCTGACTGAATTTCGTATCATTTAGTTGCTTTTTCAGACCAACACACACATCCACAGCAGATAATAGGATAAGTCCCAATATAGCATCCCTTCCATTGTTCGACCCTGGAGAGGGTTTTCCGTTTAGAGGATTTGAAGCTTCAAATTTGATGATGGTTGATTTGTTAAATCAATTAATGCAATTGATTTGTGATCAGTTCTAATTATCAGATGCTTGCCAGAGTTGAAAACTGATCAGTCAATAATCTGATGATTTTAGTTGGCACAAATTAGCTGCAGTTTTTAAGATATCAATGTATGCTAGCCTGGCTGAGTTGTAGCACTCTTGTCTCTGAGTCAGAAGTTTGTGGATTCAAGCCTCACATCAGAACTTGGAACTCATATAGCTCAGGTTGACACTTTAATGCCGTACTGGGCATGTGTTGGATTGTTGAGGTGCTATCCTCAATGAGGAAGAGATGTGATGAATAACATCTACAGTAAAATAAGTTATTTAGCAATTAATGTCTTGTAATTTACTCATAAACAACAGGTTAGAACACAAAATGGGCTTGTTGCCCCTGTGTTTGTGAGGAGAAACATCAGTTAGCGCTCCCACTGCTGACCTATGGACCCTCACAGCAGAGGGGTGGCGTTTAGCACCATTGGCTTGTATAAGTTGCACGTTGTACTTTAGGTTTCCACGTCTGAATAGCAGAACCTAGCACAATGGTTTGTGGGTCAGGGTCCCATCTTCAACCAAGTGATGTACAATATGAGTGAATTGTACACACAAGTTTGGATGTCCCATCTGTGCATTTACCTCTTTTAATCTCTCTGAAATAAATTCTGACCTTCAGAATATGTAAAAGCAGTGAGCTGAGCATGTGGGGTGAGGGTATAAAATAGATTAGATATTTTATAATTTGCAACAAACTATGCCTTACTTGCTTGAGTGAAGTGCTGGTAAGAAGTGGAACAGATCAGTGAAAGCTACATGGGCGCCATGCTTCAAGATAATACTCAGCAAATGATAAGAAAAAAGTGGATTAAAATAAACACTGAGTAATCTCCAGCAGTGACTATAAGAGCAGCTGTAATATAGTGTCATTCTTACAGATTTTATCCCAGTCACCTTTATGTTACCTGGTGACTACAATTTGTTTGTCGAAGAATTTCGGAAGAATCCAACAAGCACGTGGATAATGAAGCCGTGTGGAAAAGCCCAAGGAAAGGGCATTTTTCTCATCAATAAGCTCTCCCAGATCAAGAAGTGGTCGCGGGACAGCAAGACCACTACGTAAGAATGACTGATTTTGTTTCTATTGCAGCTGTTGTTGACCACTAAAAGCCGAGAGTATGTCGAAAGGACTGAGAGTGCAATGCGTGACTGAGCACTGATGTTGTAGCAGAAGGTTTAGCAGAATAATTTCTAAAAATTTCTGACCTTGAATAAAAATGTAAATGTAGATTACTGTGAGGGCAGAAATTAGTCGCTTATGCAGACTTGTACTTTGATGGATATGCTGATGTGTGGTGTCAGCCTGGCTCATTTGGTAGCACTCTCGCCTCTTGAGTCAGTCAAAGGTTGTAGGTTCAAGCTCCACTTCAGAACTTTGAACTCACAGTCGAGGCTGACAGTGCAGTGCTGGGGGAATGCTGCAGTGTCAGAAGTGCCATTCTTCGGATGAGACTTTAAACCCAAGTCCCGTCTGTGTGCTCAGGTGAATGTTAAAGATCCCACGGCACTGTTTGAAAAGAGAAGCAAGTTTCTTCCAGTGTCCTGGCCAAGAATTCACCAGATAAAATTAGTCACTCATTCCATGGCTGTTTGTGGGACGTTGCTCTGCATGTATTGGCTGCTGAATTTGCCTACAAATACACAGTCACTACATATTACAGTAAATGCTGTGAAGCATTTTGAGACGTTTCAACAATGATGATAAGGTGCAGTATCAAACGTAAGGATTATGATGTTTGTCCCCTGTATCGTGAATCTTTGCTTATTTCGATTCTGTATAAATCATCAAAACTGATGGTGTCCAGGGAACTAACTCTGACCGTTTCTGTCGCAGGTTTATATCTCCGGCTGGGAAGGAGGCTTATGTCATTTCCTTGTACATAGACAACCCGTTACTGATAGGTGGAAAGAAATTTGATTTACGGCTTTATGTGCTGGTGACCTCTTATCGACCATTAAAATGTTACATGTAAGTGAATTAACAGTACATGTCGCATATCTTCACTGTGCACATCACCAGACAGTGCAGGTTGATTCACTGGCACCATTTGCCGAGGATCTAGCCCTCAAGCCTACTCACCTACTCAAGGGCTCTTCCCACCTCCCTGTGGTTTACTTCAGCACTTTAAGATCTCCTCTCTGGATTTCTGTCAGAATGCTGTCAGGGTGGGAGTTCTGCTTTTGACTTTGGCCCTGAAGTCTGTCTTCCCATTGCATGATCTCTCTCCAGGTATTTATGTATATGTATGTTCCTTATTCTTACTCTCCAGTTGAATGTCAATAAGACAGGGGCTCTGCTGCTTGGCTCCCGTCAGCGTCTTCTCATCTCAGGCATCAATCTACATGGATGTACATCCACCTCGCAGAGCCAGTGTGGAACCTCAGTGTCTTGTTTGACTCTCACCTGTCCTTTAACCCCCACATTTGTGCTTTGACTCACTCAGCTTTTCTCCACCTTCGTAATATTACCCGTCTCTGCCACTACATTTTGAGCCACTGAGACCCTTATCTATGCTTTCATCACATCCAGGCTTTACCACTCATTTCGTACAAACTCTCCCCATGCTGCTAATCTGAACAAAGCCATGACGGGACATGTTAGTGCAACTCAGTGTGACCTTATGGTCTGACAGTGTTGCTTATGTTCTGATACAGAATGGGATTTAACACTAATTTTGATAATGAAGGTCTCTGTTAAAGTAAACTGTAGAAATTCTGGAGTATAAAGTTGGCTGATAAGCTCTCTTACAAGATAAGTTTGCCGATTTAACAACATCCACTTTCATTCCTGAATTGAATCTTGTAAAGTACTTTCAGACATATTTCCGTCAAAGGCACTATTTAAATGCAAGTTTTTATTAAATACAACAAGTATTTATTTTTTAAATCTCCTTCACTTGTAGGTACCGGCTGGGATTTTGCCGTTTTTGCACAATGAAATATACACCGAGCACCAGTGAGCTGGATAACATGTTTGTGCATCTTACAAATGTGTCTGTTCAGAAGCATGGAGTAAGTGATGTGCTGACTAATGAGGTGACCAACGTCGTCTTGACAGATCAGATCAATAACAAAGAATTGTCTGGGATGTGGCTCAGAGTGCTGAAATACTGATGGAAAAGACGCTATAAAAATGTTGTTGTTGCTGAGATAAAACATTTTTCTGCTGGTGATAAGAATTCCATGTGAGGTCAGTTTTGGGAAGTTACCCTCAATAACTAGTAGGGAACAGACCCACAGTACCAGATCACAATCGCAGAGAGAGCCCACAGTCGGTGGAGTGGGTGGTTTGTGTTGGGGGCAACAGGGAGAAAGTCACATTGCTGAACCCCACCTGTCAGGCCGGTGTCTGAATTTCTGTCTGACCATGCTCTGACTGATCTCAGAACCTTTAATATTGACACTGGGTACACAGAGTGGAAAATCGGTTCAACATTGGCATCAGTTTATTAATCAGCAGAACAACTCGCCAGAAAACACAAGATTAAAATAATAGGCAGAAGAAGCTTATCAGAAGTGGAACCTAGAATTGTAAAATGGTAGCAGGTTATCTGGTCAGTTTCCTGTAGCAAATAGACAGTTCTTGGAAAATAATAATAATCCTTGCGTTTGAAATAGTGCCTTATCATGTCTCCGAGACATCTCAAAGCTCTTCACAGAATATCTGTAAAATGAATTGACTGTATATTTTGTGGGTGAAACGCGGCAGCCAATTGCGCACAGCAGTGTCCCACAAACAGTCGTGGATTGAGTGACCAAATTATTATTTTTTTAAAAATTTAAGGGATCATTTCCCCTGGAAAAGCTATCCGCCAATCGACTAACATCCGAATTCATACTTACTGCTAGGTACACAGCGGCGTGTGGAGTACGGAAACATGCCCAACATTTTGCCCTGCCCGGGTTGAAACCCAAGTCGCTTGCGAGGCGAGTGCTTTAACCGCAAAGCTACAGGACTCCACACATCCTGTGCCTCATCGGCAGCCCTTTGTATGAGACATTAAAGCGAGGTCCTGTCTGTTTGGTAATGTTGACAATCCCATGGCACTGTATGAAAAGAGAAGGTGTCCCATTGTCTTGGCTGTTTATGGGACATTGCTGAGCACAAATTGGCTGCCGTGTTCTCTTACAAATGCACGGTCACTACACTTTACAGTAATTGCTGTAAAGCTCTTTAACATGTTTCAGAGTTATAAGCCTGTATCAAATGCACAGATTATTAAATACTGTATCGTTGGAATTCACTGACCTTTCTGACAGTTAAAGGTTAAGTGCACTGTTTTTCTTGGCATCACAAAGCAGGAGATTGTCTGCTGTATTAATTTTTATTTTGTGTCCAGGGTGACTATAATCCAATTCATGGCGGTAAATGGTCAGTGAGTAACCTGCGGCTGTACCTGGAGAGCACCCAGGGGAAGGACGTGACCGATAAACTTTTTGATGACATTCACTGGATAGTCGTTCACTCCCTTAAAGCTGTGGCAGTAAGTACTTCAATCCCAGTAAAAAATCATTTTCAATCGAGCTCCGTTCCCTTGCACTTAGCTTTGTTTCTGTTGTCATTGGGGTCACTGGATTTATAGCCCAAAAAATAAAGCACTACAAGGCTGACGTCCGTCCTTCCTGGTCATCAGGTTTCCGCTAACATGTGTAGTGATGTCAGTGATGTGTGCGCTACCCCCAAGAAGCTGGTCAGTCAGCACTGGAGGCTGCAGGTGTTCAGCACTTACTTTAAGAGTGGGCTCATGGCAGTCGCACGATTGGAATAATTGTACAAACTGTCTAAGATTTCCTTTTGCCGTTTCCCTGAACTGTGTCGATCATCTTGAGCTTGTAACTCCCAGACATTGTATAAACAGTGCTTATTTATTTTTAAACCAAAGCCTGAAGGCTTTGAGGTTTTAATGTTTACCAGAAATTCTGCTCGGGATCTAACGTAGAGGTGGTTCTGTCCCTTTCACAGCCTGTAATGATCAATGATCGACACTGCTTCGAATGCTATGGTTATGACATTATCATTGATGACAAGCTGAAGCCCTGGCTCATCGAGGTACAACTGCTTACGCTGTCACCAAAACAAAACTTTTTTTTAATAATGCATTTTGATGTTTTTCTGAAATGTGACTAACGTGTGGGTGTAAACTGCAGGTTAATGCTTCCCCCTCACTCTCGTCCACTACTGCCAATGACCGGATCCTGAAGTACAATCTCATCAACGACACCTTAAATATTGTTGTGCCAAACAGCGAGATACCAGACTGCAAGTGGAACCGATGTCCACCCAAAGAAGCCCTTGGTCACTACGACTTCCTGTAAGTCTTTCGCCTGAAGTTGATTTTATCACGGCTGATTTGTACCTCAGCTCTACTTACTCCTCAGCCTCTTCTCCATATCCTGACCTAACAAATTAGTCAATCAGTCTCAGTCAATCTCAGACTTGAAAATTCCAATTGACCCAGGATCCACAGCCAACTGGTCAATGGAATTTATAGTCCACATGAGTCTCCATCCCTCCTAATAGCTCTCTCCCATATCCCTGATTCCCTCCTCCAGATTAAACAATGAAAACAGATTTTAAAAACAAGTAACATTAAATTATATCTATCACCAAAACTCAGGTATGTCTCTGGGGAAGAGAATTGAGACTGAATGATGTGTGAGACTCCTTTTCCAGATTAATGGCTGGTCACCTAAAGTACTGGTGCTATTGTTGCCCAGTTTGAACTTTTAATTTCTCAAATTAAACTCCATACAAGCAAACCTGCACTTTACAGAGCTGTTTGAGGTGTATAGAGATAATGGTCTAATTAACTAGGATAAAAGCTGATGATTTCCGTGTTCTTTGGCCTGAAGTATCTTTTCCTTCCTCCTCAGGTATGATGAAGACCTGGCCCAGGCTGAGGGGGTCGAGTGTGAGGGCAGGGCACGGATTGGGCCCTTAGTGAATAAAGGCAGTCGGCTGAAGGATGTCAGGAAACCCTTTTCCACTTGGAAATAACATGATTCCTTCACTCAGTTTCAGTACAGGATATTTGATATTTAAATAAGATGTATTTATTAATATTTGTTTCCCATGTCCACAGAATACAAAGGGCATTCAAATTCCAGTATTAACCTTCTTGAACTTGTACAACCTATTGAAGGGCTTTGCCAGATGAAATCACCCTGTACTGTACTTGCATCAGTACACGTGATATTCCTCGGCCTGTATGAGTACAGTATTGGGCAATCCATTCCTGCTGAATACAAGGGATCATTGGATTAAATGATCCTGCCAGGTGCCAATGTTGCAAAAATTCAAGTTATTGGTACTGACTAGACCAGAGCTGTGGAATGTGTAACAAGATATACTATATGTACCTTTGATACTACAGTAAACTGATAACTTGACTCTGACTCCTATCACTTAAATCATCTTGCGGTCAGTATCCCAGCTGCATTTATTTGTTTATGCATATGCCTAACTCGCCACTCCTGATAATTTGTCGCTCAGCTCTTTTTCCTTGGAGTGACAAGTTACCATAAGTTTGCTGTCGACGCATTTAAACACAAAAACAGAACCTTTACCTGATACCTAGTTTTTAATGTGCATCTGTAATGAGCACAGGTGTGGAAGCAGCTGGAGGGTAGAAAGAGAAGGCATCTTTTGATACTGAATGATGTATGTTACACTTTATTTAACAAGGGAACTTGAACACGCCACTTAAAGCCAGTGAAGTTACATTTGTTTTACTTGTTAGTGCCTTGAAGTATGATACCACTTACCAATTTTTTAAGATGGTACAGAATTTCCTAAATACAGCATTTAAATGCCCTTAGACAGCACGGTCCAACTCGTGGCCTATGGGCCGCACCCGGCCCAGTAGATGATTTTATCCGATCAGAGACTATTTCCAACATTCCAACTTCTGGTCTTCATCCCTGGTGAACATCCTCCCATGGCAGTGGCAGGAGCCGGCAGTTGGGAGGACGCAGCGCGGAGAGTGAAAATAATTCAGGCCATTGCTGCAATCTCAGGAAGGCAAACGCGTTTCTTACCAATTGCAAGAGATGTTTTTTGGTCATCCGGATGTCTGATCCATCACTGTGCTTAAGAGTATCCAAACCAAGCTGAGATTTCCATGCATCCCACCTACACATGGAAATCCCAGATAGATTCCAATGCCTTGAAGTTAGAATGTGTATTCTCTCCCTGGAGGGATGCATTTAATATTAGGCACAGGTTGGCAAGAGCCAAGGCTTGGGGACCCCAGAAAGTTCATTGGAGTTACTGCTGGACTCTAGCAACTAAAAAGCACATAGCCTGCCATTAATATTGCTGTCCAGCAAGAACACCCTCACCATTAGGGCTTTGGCTTGTAGGGTTCACAGGAGCTGCCCTTCCAGGTCCTGTCGATAAGTCAGGCTTGCTGTGCTGTCATCAGTAGTGCCCTACAATGCTGCAGACCTGTCTGGCTCAGGAAGCGGACTACTGAGACTGCCACAGAAGCCTAGCATGATTCCAGGCACCTTGGAGCCAGTTCAGCTCCAAGACCCCTTAGTCTTGAAAGGGGGGGGGAGAGGAGAAGAAAGCATATGTGTGTGAGAGACGTAAGGGGGAGAGAGAGACTGAAAGAGGGGGAAGAGAGAAAGTAATTGAGTGTGAGAGCGTGAGGGGGGTAGAAAGAACGGGGGAGATTGAGAGAGGATAGAGAGAGTTTGAAGGAATAGTGTGTGTGTGTGTGGGACAGAGGAGAGGCGGGGGGGGAAAGAGCGTGATGGGGATTTAGAGTGTGAGAGGGAAGAGAGAGAGGCTTTATTTCAGTAAATAAATGGTTTAAACATGGGAAATATTTCAAAAGACTTTTATTTTACACAGTAAATTGTACAGATTTATTGAGGCTGCCCACGACCACGGCCAAATCCACCTCTCTGTAAAAACAAAAAAAGGTACAATAAGTAATTCATAAATCTCACTACACAACAGGCTAAACTGTCATTGGATTAGGTCGCGCACATACTGTAGGTCTTATGTGAAAGTTAAATATTCGAGGACCTCGGAATACAAATGCATCTTTTTCTTGTTTGAAAGTGCGCAGACACAACAAAAGACTATACTTACAAACTGGAACTCTGTGGCTGCACCAGCACCAGCCTCAGCCTTCTTGTCTGCACCAGCTGTGAAGAGATTGAATTGCAAAGCTATTACTTAGGAAGAACACAAAAGCATCTAAGTCATCAAATTACCCATTTTACGCGAGTGTTTTAAGGACTGCGAGACGCTATCTGTGTAAAAGACACAATATAAATGCAATTTGTTGTTACAGACGCCATAGGCATACATCAGCTACCACAATACAATTTACATTTATATAGCACCTTTCACACCGGGAGACGTCTCAAAGCACTTCAATGCTGGTACCTGAGTGAGGGGATGATAAGGGGGAAAAGATCACTGAAAGGGAGGTCAATGAGGTACCGTTTGGACTATGTGTTAGCCTAGCGCAGTGGGAGAACTCTCGCCTTGGAGTCAGAAGGTTGTGGGTTCAAGCCTGGAATCACGTAGTCTAAGCTGACACACCAATGCAGTGCTGGGGTGTGTTGCATTGGTAGAGGAGCCATTCTTTGGATGAGATGTTAAACCAAGGTCGCGTTTGCCCATTCAGGTGGATGTTAAAGATCCCATGCCGCTATTCGAAAAGAGAAGGGAGTTTCTTTCTCCCGATGCCCTGGCCAACAAATCCCCTAAATAAAATTGATCATTCACTCCACGGCTGCTTGTGGGACATTGCTGTGTGCAAACAGGCTGCCGCGTTTCACCCACAAAACACAGTAAAACTCACTTTACGGTACATACTGTGAAGTGCTTTGAATTGTCTCAAAGACATGATGTGGCGCTATATCAAATGCAATTATTAATATCAATTGTAAGGAGGACTTGGCCTACTCAGCTAAGGTGGTAAATTAGATTTGAACATAGCAAGGTATTGGTAAAAGAAATTGTATTTGTAGAACTAATGCAAGGAATATCATTATAAAGGAGCTATTTGTTAAAAAACTTTCATATTGCATCTTAAATGAATAAGGAACTCCCAAGACGTTACCCGACGTGAAGGACGCTACAGAAATGCAAGTTGGTCTCTCTTAATTGGGCAAATTGTTATTTCTGAACGTTATCACTTAACACCCCTTAACCAGAGATTACACTTTTCTGAACATAACCACCAGGAATGTAATTCAAATTTCCCAAATGTGCCACAACAGAAGTCACACGATTTCCTTACTTGGAGACAATTTTAAAAAAGGCGTCGGTCTTGGGACATTGTGATCAAAATTGAGGTTTGGATTTTTTGTTTGGTTCGCCAGGTGTTTTCCCTGTGAGTATTAGACACAGGCTGGTAAGAGCTACGGCTTGGGAATCCTAGGATGTGCGCTAACCCGGTATTGCTCTTGTTTAGCCAGAGCTTACCATTGCAGTTTTAGCTGGTTGTACACAAAGCACACTCTGGTTTGGAAGAAGAAAGTCTTGCCTCACTTTATCGACCCAGCCATTCACTTCACTCAGTGAGCACCGGCCTGCTTCACGCCCCCGTGCCCTATCCACCCCACCATCACCTGACAAGACTTTCAGCCAGTTTGTTTTGTTCTCTGGAGCTCCATTCCAGAGTGCCTCCAACTCCCTGCTTACTTTCAAGGCACGTCTCAGAAAATACCCTTTTGATTACCATTCCCCTCCCACCCCCAGCTCACGTGCCCATCCAGCACTGTGAACATGCTTTGGCACATCCTCCCATCGTGAAAGATGCAGTTTAAATGGAAACTATTCTATAAGTCAGAAGGGTTACCCCACAACAACTGTCAACTGAATATTTTGATTAAAAAGTCAAAAAAAAAATCAAAGGTTAACAGTTGCCCTCAAAGTACAAGTCAATGTGTAGCAAAACAAATATAATCCAACCCAAAACCAGATCCCCACAACTCTAAAATTAGATATGAACAAATGGCAAACACCAGTACTGTTCCACTGATATCTATAGGCAATCGCATTGTGCAGTACTTACGGGGAGCAGCACGCCTGTAGCTGTCTCGGTCAGCTTCACCACGAAGACGAGCTGGTCTCTCCTCACCCAGACCTGAGAACAGGAGAGAAAGTTACAGTAACAAACGTAAGCGTCTTTTGCGAGCCAGTTTAATGCTAATTGCAACGATTAACAGGATTGTCTCCACTTATGGAGATGTACACACATTGAGAGATAGAGGGAGTCAACATTGAACTCATTTGCTGTGTTTGCTGTGAGCCACACAGCATATTGCATGAAATGACATATTCAAGTATCAGCAACATCGAGAGCTGTGTGATGATTAAATCAACACTGCACTGAAACATGACATTTACATTTATGCAGCGTTGCTTTTCACATTGCGAGGACAAACCGAGGTGTGAATGGGCAGATTACAGTATGAAGCGATTCTGAGGCTACAGAACCTGGAGATAGTTTATACTCCAGTTGGAACATTTGTGTGACTAACAATATATAATCACTTTAGGATTTCTATAGGAATTGTTGAAATGGGATTAGAAGGATCAAGGCTCAATGCTTCTCTGGACAATTTTTTTCTAGACCAGACAAGTCCACAACACTGCACGAACCATTGTTAATGATCCCCACCCAGCATTACAAGCTTCCAACATAATAGTTTCAAGCCCCTGGGACCAGCACACATGAAAATAAACCACTCAAAAGGTAGGCAAATATCTCAAGAATATTTCCACTCTGGAGCAGAACTGTGTGACAATCACAGTGTGACAAACACTCAAAAGAGAAATTACAGCAAAAAATAAATATTAACAGTGAGCAACCCAATAGTCCCAGAACCAATAAGATAAAACAGCCTCATTTCTGCAGGGCTCCCGACGATAACCCTGTGGCCTGGAAATACAAGCTCAGATCACTGTGTTAAGAGGAAACAACAAAAAATGGCCGTCTTTCAGGCTGTCACTGACTTCACTTCCTGTGCACTGGGTACATGTGCAGCATGCAAACCGAGATGCTCGTAAAAACTCCCAACAATATGAAAGGCCAATTTTAGTTTGGGAAGGTTAGTCTGTCCAGAAGTATTTCCGATAACTGTAGGGCACCCGCATTAAAAGCAAACCCTCGTTTAAACCAGAGATTATTCTGTATTTAACTAGTTGCCATAACACCAACTTCATTAGTGAATTGGACTTCTGATAAAGGCACTGAACAAGTTGATTGAATTAATGCTTTGCACCTCAGCCCTCCCCACCGCCAAACCATCAGCTGGTGGCACTGAGAGGCTACGAAGGAGATGCAGGTAATCACCCAGGACTCTCAGCAACTGTCCACAATCAGACAAGAGATACCAATGAGGGTGAGGTATCCTGTCTAAACGGAATCATACCCAACACTGAGAAGGGCTGAAAAGGAAAAGACAAACAAAAGCCAAAGATTCAGAAGAGAAGGCATCGATGTAAAGTTCAGGTGCCACTTCAGCTCAGATTTCTAACGCAGTACAACACTCAAGATCCAATAACAAGGATACTGCACAATGAAGTAGAATTCTTGTCCATCCCTCAGAATATTTGCCTGCCTGCTTGGGGATCCCGGCCAGCAAAGCTTACCTTTGGGTCTTGGCCGAGCAGTCTCAGGGCGGGTCTGACGACGCAGGGTAGCGGGAACAATTTCTGGGGGAAGGTGAAGGTAGTCGCGCAGATACTGGATGCCCTCGTTGGTCAAGTACCAGTAGAAATGTCGCCAAGCAAACTGCTCCTTTACATAACCACGAGACTTCAAAGACTGTACATGAAATGACAAAAGGTGGGTTTGTGTCAGTGATCAAAAACCTATCAGAAATAAGAGCTTCATATATAACCTTCATCCATTTAAAGTAAAAATCAAAATACAGCAAACATACATTTTGCCCCAGAGTCATTGTCCAGCTCAAGTCAATGGCCACATCCGAAAGTGTTTGACCGTGCCTTCAGTCATCTTTAGCCACAATAGTTTAGCCATATTACTATCATCCGAGGGGGGAGGGGGGGGAAGAGTGGGTCTCCTTGGAGCTGACCTGGCTGAGCACACTTGACAACGGAATATCGCAATCAAGTCAATCCTCTGCAACGATCGTGTTTAGTCCCGTTTCGGAGCCAGGCTGCTCCAAAGTACTGCTGATGACAGACCCTGGCTCACTGGCAGGACCTGGAGGAGCAGACCAGTCATTAGGAGTAGGTGTTCTGTTAACTCTGCAAGCCAAAGCCCTAACAGGCAAGGTGGTCCTATCTGGACAAGCAGCGGGAAAGCTTGGCAGACAGTGGCATCCTATGTGTTTTTTTAAAGCTGATTAGACTCCAGCAGTGCCCCAACGCACTTTCTGGGCTCCCCAAGCCTGGGCTCTTGCCAACCTGTGGCAACCTCTCTCCAGAATTAGTTAAGCTGGATACACCTATCCAGGGAGGGAGAGTGCATTCCAGACATGAGGAAATTTCCATGTGTACGCAGCATACAGATGTAGAACTCAGTGTGGTTCGGTTACTCTTAAGCATTGCGATGGGTTTCCGCACTTGTCGAGAAACATCCGCCTGACAACCAAAAAGCCACAAACAAATATTTTATAAAAATATTCAGTAAACTCCTGATAATTTGTCACTTTTAGGGAAAGGGGGTTCAGTGACGGGTAGTCTGGAATGGTGAGTTAGGCAGATGTATAAATACATAAATAAATGCCGAGATATTGACAGCATGATCACTTAAATGGTAGAGACAAGTTAATAATTAGGAGTTACTGTACTTCATCTGAATCAGTCCAAAGCATTAATGTTCTGCACATCTCATTAATAAAATTAAGAATATTCTATTAAATATATTATTGCTGATATTGTATTGGTTTGCTCTTATAACATTGTCTGCTAGAATGGACCTGTTGCTACAAGACTTTGGAATATTGACCTGTTTGCCCATTATAATAATACTTGCATTTGACACATTGCCTTTTACATTAGGAGCACACCTCTAATACAGACGGCACTTATAGACAAACCCTGTGAAACACTTCAAGATCTTTCAACGTGATTGTATATCACATGCAAGGATTACTGTGTATCCACAACAGCTGAAATGTTTGCCAGTTCTCTTTGCCAAAAGAATGACAATGATATGGAGACCCACTCTGTACATGTTTTTAAATTTATAGAAGAGCACAACCTGATAAAATAACCTGACGGGCGGGACAGGGCTCAGACAACTTATTCCATCCAAACTTCAACTAAATCTACATATGATTCTGATGCCTATACACAGTACCTGCATGGCCTTCATTACGTGCAGGTTTGGCACATTTTTATCAGCCAGCTCTGGATGTTTCGGCATGTGCACATCCTTCTTAGCCACCATTACCCCCTCCTTGAAGAGGAGCTCATAGATAGCAATTCGGTCCTTTTTGGGCATCAACATCTGGAATGAGGATCAAAATCAGTTAAGTTTCAGGCGTTAGTTCCATAAATCAGAAACATTATATTGCGGACTTTCCTCAACACCGTATCCACCCAGAAACACGGGTTACAGTAGACTTCAGGATTCAGGACGGATACAGTATATTCTATATCATACACAGCTGCTGATATCCCAGAAGTTTTTGCTGACGTTACATTAAGACATCGCAGCGCTCTTAAGACTGCTCACTGCTTTTCTTACTTAAGATTATTTTGGACAGTTTGGACGACAACAACAACAACAACAAGACAAGAAGATTTCATTTATAGAGGGCCTTTCACGTCGGGAGGACGTCCCAAAGCAACACGGTCATACTCTGTAATAAACAGCTCCCGCAAAGGGTCGGGGGACTCGCTTGTGTGCCGAGCGGTCAGTCAGTCAGTCACTGCTCACAGTGGACAGTGAGAGGGACTTGAGCCACAGATACTCAAACTCCTCACGACCCCGACTGGACACCTCATACACTGATTAACAAGGGGCAAAGATCATCCCCACACCCCCCACACCCTCTCTCTCCCCCCCCCACCCGCGGAGACCTGGCGGCCTTCAAACAACACATTCCCCTGTGAAGCTCCTCTCAAGAGGCGGCGCGGCCTAACGCCAACACCAGCGGCACATCCCACATCTCGGCCATCACAGCGGGAGCGCTCCCCCCACCCCCGGGGGAAATGAGGGTGCGGGTAGCCTGAGGGAGGGTGCGCGGAGCGAGCCGGGAGGGTGCGAGTGCCGGAGCGGGTGGGATGGCGGCGATGGTGACGGATTGCCCGGGACTCGGCGCTCACCTCGGCCACCGGGTGAAGAGCTGCGGCGCGAAAGGACTGAGCATGCGCACTCGCTGCTTCTTCTCCCTCAGCCAAGACCCCGCTTCTCCCGGCCCGCGGACCGCCTGATTGAGTGTGGGCACTTCTTCCCCCCCTCCCCCCCTCCCACCCCCCCCAAAAGAAATTACACAGCGCTTTCTTTGACAAACATATCTTGTACACCGTGAGAGCGGAAGATAAATATTAGAAATCCGCGCGACGCTGAGACTTTACAATCGGGAGCAGCAGTGGGCAGCTCACGGCGGGGGCCTTGGGCGGCTGCGCGCGGCGGGCAGTTCAGAGCGGGTCCAGATTGGGCGGGGATTGGGCGTGTTGGGCGGGGGTTGGGCGGGTTGGGCGGGGGTTGGGCGTGTTGGGCGGGGGTTGGGCGGGTTGGGGCGGGGTGGAAGCGGCTTTGGGCGGGGGGTGGATTTAAGAAAAATATTTTTAATCTTATTTTTGGCGGATTCGGTCCCCATGATCCACGACGGTTTGTGGGGACGCTGCTGCGGGCAATTGGCCGCCGCGTTTGGCCCACAAAGTACACCGTCACTACGCTTTACGGCGTATAATAATAATAATAATAATAATAATAATCCTTGCATTTGATATAGCGCTTTTCACGTCAGGAGGACGTCCCAAAGCGCTTCACAGTACACACTGTAAAGTGAATTGACTGTATATTTGTGGGCGAACGCGGCAGCCAATTGCGCACAGCAATGTCCCACAAACAGTCGTAGATTGAAAATGACCAATTTATTATTGTTTTTGGTTTTGGAGGGATTATTATTAGGCTCTGTGTGGAGTAAGGAAACTTGCCCAAGGTTTCGCCCTCTGCCTGGAATTGAACTCAGGTCTCTCACTTGCAAAGCGAGTGCTCTAACCACTGAGCTACAGGACTCCACAGTGAAGCGCGATGGAGGCGTCAGAGGTCAAACGCGAGGACCACAAACCCGCAAAACGTGGTCTTCCCTTCGAAGCTCTAACCCGAACCGACCACTCTGCTGCCCCTGGGAGCCAACCCGCAATACTGGGCCACTTGTGGGCTAACGTTTAATAGTAATAAGAATAATCCTCGCATTTGACATCGCGCTTTTCACGTCGGGAGGACGTCCCGAAGCGCTTCACAGAACACACTGTAAAGGGAATTGACTGTATATTTGTGGGCGAACGCGGCAGCCAATTGCGCACAGCAATGTCCCACAAACAGTCGTGGATTGAAAATGACCAATTTATTATTGTTTTTTGTTTTGGAGGATTATTATTAGGCTCTGTGTGGAGTAAGGAAACTTGCCCAAGGTTTCGCCCTCTGCCTGGGATTGAACTTTTTGGTGGGACGTGGGCTACAAATGGATTGTAATGGCCGGCGAGAGCCTGGCGCCCCACTGTAACTGGGGGTGGCGTTGAGGGGGTGGCGGTCAGAGGTTTGTGGTCCCCGGGCGTCTGACACAGGTGGAAACCCATCACCGTGCTTCAGAGCGTCCAAACCAAACTGAGAATGCCATGCGTCCCACCGACACATGGAAATCCCCATGTCAGGAATATAATAATAATAGTAATAATCCTATAATAATATTTGATATAGCGGCTTATCGCGTCTTCGAGACGTCTCAAAACGCTTCACAGGATATACGGAATTAAGTGGAGTGATTTGTGGGCGAAACGCTGCAGCCAATTGCACACAGCAATGTGGAACTCAAGACTCTAGGTATCGCCTTCTGCAACTGTCGCTCCAAGCCTCAGAGTTCCCTCTGCCTTCAGTGTGGAAGGAGGAACTTTACAGGACAGTGTGTGACATGCAAGACAAGGTCCAAGTCCAATGCTGGGTACCAGAGTTATTCAGCACCAGCTGTTTAATCCAGGTCGTCATGCGAGGGGCCTTGGCAAATAGACATGACCGCTGTAAAACCGACTCTGCCTCCAAGCCCCTCAGCCACAGGTCAGTGTTGGCTAGAGTCCTAATAATGGAGCCTAATAATAATCCCTCCAAAAACCCAAAACAATAATAAATTGGTCATTTTCAATCTACGACTGTTTGTGGGACATTGCTGTGCGCAATTGGCTGCCGCGTTCGCCCACAAATATACAGTCAATTCATTTTACAGTGTGTTCTGTGAAGCGCTTTGGGATGTCCTCCCGACGTGAAAAGCGCTATATCAAATGCAAGGATTGTTGTTGTTGTTGTTGTTGTCCTCCCTCTCTGCAGCCGTTTCTCCTGTTTACCACAAATCCATCTCACTGCTTGATCCTGGACTTTGTTAAGTGCGCCAGAGGAAGCCTCTCCGCTGTATCTCCAAGAGCTCAGAACCATAGAGGAGGGCTCTTTGCACAACAACAACTTGCATTTATATAGCACCTCTCACGCAGGATAGAGTCTCAGAGGGCTTGACAGTGGTGGAGCATGATGCCGAGCTGGAGGGAGGTGACCGTAAGTATGATCGGAGATGAAGGTATTCAGGAGCAATCTGAAAGATGGGGAAAGAAGCGGCAAGGCAGAGGGATTGAGGGAGAGTATTCCAGAGTTCCGGGGTGCAGTGGCTGAAAGCACGGCTACCAATGGTGGAATGAAGGGCATAAGGGACATGCAGGAGGCTGGAGCCAGTCGAGCGGAGGCAGCGGGTTTTGGGTTGGGAACTAAGCAGGTTCGAGAGGTAGGGAGGTGCCAGGGCATGAAGAGATTTGAAAACAGGTCTTATATGCCATTGGCTCCCAAACTGGGATCAAGAGAAGCCAATCCTCCGAGCATCCTCAATCCACGGGTCACTCTTGCCCATCTCCCAACTTGTTTGTGATGCACGTTTCTCCCCTGAGTCTCACTGAAGAATCCTTCAGCAGATCCAGCAGCTGTCTGTTTGGTCGTCCTGGCTGTTCAGCTGCAGAGCATGTCACAGCCATGTTGTTCTTGTCCAATGTGCAAAGATGTTCACGTTTCAGTAGCATTGGGTAATTCCTGCCTGGTTTGCACCTCCTCAAACTGTTACTAATCAGGTGGCCAGATCAACAACAACAACAAGATTACATTTGTGTAGCGCCTTTCACGTTGGGAGGACGAGATCATCAAATGATATGGCCCATTAGCTATGGACCTTGGCCTTTCAAGTGAATAACTTGGCATTTTGTATTTGTAATACTGTAAATGCAGTATTTTGTGTTTTAACTTGGCATTCTCACTGTGTATGTGGTTCAATTGTACTCCCACCGGGTACTGTCTTCTGCTAATATCTCCCTTTCCGAAGTGACCACCAGATGGAGTGTGTGAGTGATCTGGATGACCGCATTAAAACTTTTTCAGGTTTATTTTTATTGCTTTGGGAGGTCAGGCCTGCTCCCCTTCCATTAACCGAATTAAACCAGACATGTTGGTCATGTTTGGAGTCCTGTAGCTCAGTGGTTAGAGCACTCGCTTTGCAAGCGAGAGACCTGAGTTCAATTCCAGGCAGAGGGCGAAACCTTGGGCAAGTTTCCTTACCTCACACGCCTGATAATGATCCCTCCAAAACAAAAAACAATAATAAATTGGTCATTTTCAATCTACGACTGTTTGTAGAACATTGCTGTGCGCAATTGGCTGCCACGTTCGCCCACAAATATACAGTCAATTCACTTTACAGTATATTCTGTGAAGCGCTTTGGGACGTCCTCCCGACGTGAGAAGCGCTATATCAAATGCAAGGATTATTATTAATATTATTATGTTCCATTTAGGGAACGAGGGTTGTCCCCGCAGAAATGCTCCTCCCCCAATCTCTCTCGGCCCCAAATTGTCACAGGACAATGTGGACCTGATACCTGTCTTCAAGACACCCACCAAGCAGGTCAGGTAATGGGATGGCCTCTCCGGCAGGACAAGCCCGGCCTGAGCCTAGTGATCGGGTGCTCAAGTGAGCTCTGTATACTAGTATCCTCACTTCCCCGTGAGGGCAGATCACAGCACTCTGGGACGCTACCCCACGTGAAAGGCACTATATAAATGCAAGTTGTTGTTGTTGATCACACTGCTCAGATGGGAAATACAGCAATACTCATCCCAACCAACAGAGGGCTGACAGCAAAGCTGTTGCCAGGAGCTCAAACCTTCTGAAAAAGCCTCAGTTATGGGTGATTTTCGCTCATGGTAACCAACACAAGCAAAACTGAATAGGAGAACGTTGCTGCCGGTGCCAGCTCATGGAGTAACCGATAAGCACAGAAACTACACTTGATCTTAGTCAAATGGTTGAGAAACAAACTAAATTCTCAGGGCGCTCCTCATCTGTGCCTGGATCCTCTACCTGCACTCAGGAGGTAGATTGGAAGTATATCGAGTGGGTTATTTGTATGACCTAACATTCCCTCCACTCCATAGTCCATCACATGGTATTCCCTCTCGCACAGACACTGGGCTCACTAAAAGCTCACCATCAATGGGTTGAATCAGAATTTTTGTTGGCCGCTCAACCAATTTCTTGGTGGTACCCTACGAGATAAAAACAGTTTTTGGTTTGAAATGTTTTGATCTTTTCTGAGTTACAGAGCAATGAAATGGGATAATCTGAGTTAAGTGCACTTCATACGGACTTGCTAACTATACAAAGCAACAAGCATTTTACACATTGACACCTCTTTGTTCGTGTGACGATGCCTATGATATCCAAGCATGGCCCGGAAATCTTGTTGAACATCAACCATAGTTTCTGACTTTAACTATGGAGTCTGACGTATCCAATTTCTGAACGTATCCTTTTTTTCTCAGTTTCTTATCAGATTTCCCATGATAAACATTCAGTGAAAAAGATCATTGGTTTTAGTGATTAATACATTAGATCCTCTCAGTCTGCATTCCCCAAAAACATGAACTCTGACAATGATGATAGAGATAAACCAGAACACTTTCAGCTTGTATAAAACAAGATTGTCAGCAATGCTTTAACCTGCAGAAAAGGGGCGTACTGATGACATGCAGATACCTGCACATGATATCTTATCAGTGTGGCAGAGTTAGCTGCCAGTGTCCTAATGACAATGTTTACTCAGATCAGACACCCCAAGGAAATTATGTTCAATCGAAGTGTGATGTTTATGTTT